TCTGTTATCGAGCGAAAAAGAGAAAGAGAGAGAGAGAGAGAGAGAGAGAAGGAAGAGAAGTTCTCATTCGTATGTCGACAGGTATACATCTCATTGCCGTCGCCGGACCGTGCTCGTTACAAACGTCCTTCCTTCGTGACGACAGTTGCCTACGAGGAAACCGCTCTCTCTTTCCCAACCTTGCCTTGGTACACTATCGATTCATCCGGCCGTGAAGATACCGAAGGATGTTCACTTAGGATGGAAGAACCGGCTCGAGTGTGATTACGCCAAGAAAATACGTACATGCGATGGAGTACGGGCACGTGGAATGGATTTTCACATGCATGACAGGATATATACGACGAATATCTTTGCATATTCCTTGAATGGCCAAATGAGTCGGCCATTGCCGACACGTGTCGTAAAAGGAATGATTCTGCGAAAGCGAATGAAAGCGAATGAAAGCTTTCACGGCCGTTTATTATTAGATCCTTTGTCTCACGAAAGATTTGAAAAATACGCTAATATATTAATATATTTGTATATTCATGTATGTACATGTATGAATGTATTTAAATATATAGGAAAAGGTTTTGAGGGAAATAGCTCGCACATATTTCCGGAAATTTGCATAAACAAATCTTCCAGGGAAGAAATTTTCTGGAAATTGTATTATATTCTATAGAAATTTTTCGCGCGCGAATAGATGGAACCTTGAAAAGGTATATGGAAATATCGCTTATAGTTCACCCCCTTAAAAAAGACGAGCCGACGTTCCGCACGACGGTTCCCGAAAATTATGCGGTGAATTTGCAAGTAAATAGAATTTTCGGAACTCCGAAAAATATATCTCGGAATACAGTTTTGTTTTGCAAAACAGAGATAGGCAAATTGGAGCGCGGCAGGATAAATTCAGCCGGGGACGAACTCCTCGATGACGGATTTCTCTTTGAAACCTCGGCCGGGAGAAATGTCGCTTTCGAAATAGCGCTTTATTGCGCTGTTGTTTGTTAAAACAGCGACGGAACGGTTCTCGTTTACGGGGAATGTAAAAATATGGTGTGACACGTATGGAGCTGTATACGCCTTCGACGATGTATTAGAAGCGTCCTCGACGAAAATGTACGTCTGACGTCAATTTTCTAAAAAAAAAAGAAAAGGAAAAATGAAAAAGGAGAAAGAGGAAGAAAGGAAGGAAGAAAGGTGGAGGAAGAAAGAAACTGAGAGATCGATTCAATCCGTGGTAGGACGCTCTTGTCATCAATTATCTCCAATCTTCCCAGAACTATTCTATTGAACCAACTAATCGATGAAAAGGGGCTAAAGAGCGACGCACGGTGTGCGTCAGTTTTAAGCATCAACCACGTAATTATCTTATCAACTGTTGTGAAACACCGGCTGATTCTCTGAAATTCGCTTCGTTTAAAGCGACCACTTTAATAATCTACGAGTACTCGAACTGCGAGAAAACTATTCACGTGCGTTTCCTCGCAAGTTCCTCGCTTTTGACGTCATAATCCGCGCCGGCTGACACATACATCGGAAATCCTTAAATCGTTACATAATCTCACCTAAATAACATGACTCGGGCCTTTTAAAGGGAGTACTCAATATTTCTCGGAATCGACGAGATAATTGCGCGACGATACTTAAACCGGACACAGGTCTATACGCGCGTAAATCGCCGCACGTCGCGTTCCGCCTCCGCGATCGCTATAATTTCAACCGATCCGCCGTTGAAACAGCGGAACGGCTCTTCCGCACGATCGCGTTGCATTCAGCCTGTAACGGAGAACACCTGCGAATTCGACGAGAGAGAAGGCAAAACAGCTCTTCTCGCGTTCTCCACCGTTAAAATCGCATATCACGAAAACGCGCCGTAAACGCCACGCGGAAAAGATCCCGAGTACTGATACCGGTGCGTTAATTGGACGCGCTCGACGAATGTTATTTATTAATGCAAGTGTCCGCGAGATTTATGCGGATTCGGAGCCGTCTGGCGTGCGATTTCACGAGGAAAACGTTCGATGGTGCAAAAACTCGCGCAAACCGTGATACTCCTGATAAATCATCTCTCCTTGGACATTGATTTGATTTGAAACCTGATATTGACAATTATACATATACAGAAACATCTCTTTAACATTCCATTTACATGTTATTTACCCCGCAGATTCCACGAATTCAGATGTGTCGATTTTCCGAGTAGAACGCAGGTCTGACTAACTCACTTGCCCCGGCTGCGAGAGGAAAACAAGAGAGAGAGAGAGAGAGAGGTGTGCCGGATTATAGCGAACAATGGTGATCTTTTGTCCGAGGCACGTTAATTATCACTCTCAACGTAACATATGCCGGTTTTCATATTCATTAAGAAATAATCAACTGTATCGGTGATTATGCACATATCATTCAATACGAGTGATTTTGCACGGGCACGATTCACGCCGACGTGCGAAGCCGGCAGAAATCCATTGACGTCAATTAAGCCAAAGCAAAAAAAAGGCCGTCGTTCAAGCCGCAACGTTCGAGACGGAATAACGTCTCTTTCCCCGAAGCTATTCGACGATCGACGAAAAAAAAAATAGAAAAAGGGGGACCGAATTATCCGCGCGCGTAACTCTGTCCTCGCTATCCGACCGTCTGCTACTCGACCTCTTGGCTACCTACGCAATTCGCTATTTAACCTTCGCGAGCCGGTAATTCGTTACCTGGGTTACATAGGTAGGTGTGTTTTGCTCCAGCGCGTTCGATACTACCGACAAACAAGTTACGCGTTTTGCGCGTTAAACTTAAAATAATTGCGCTTCCGCCCACCGCCTCCTTCCTCCTATCCGCGCCCGCTTCTCTATCCGGGATAAATATTCATACGGCGGCGGTGAAATGCCGTAACCACGTCCGCGTTCTAATCGCACGAGCATATCCGATTTTTCTCGCGAAAACGCGAGCCTCGCGCAGAACCGACGTTGATCCCGTCGATTCCACGCGAAAAATCTCAAAGCGATCTCGCGGGCCGAAGAAACCGGCTCAGAGGCGCGTGGGTCGCTCCCCCGTTCTCTTCCTGCGTTACGTCGCCGGCGAAATCGACGTTATGAAAGTGCGAGAGGAAAATCGACGTGGACGATGCGGCAACGTGCATTGCTACATTCATGCACGTCGTTACGCTCTGATGAGTGACACTTATATTCGTATTATTATAGCTTCTATTTCAGTCAGGCGGACCCGCAGACCTACACAGCATCGACGGAGCACGAGGAGATTATCATGCCGATCGTATCGTTTCCCTCAACCTTCACCCTATTCGGTGGGAATAAGTGGAGAATAATGAAACTCCCACGTAAATCACTATGTTGCTTCGTCTCCTCTCTTCCAGTGCGTCATCAATACGAATTTAACATACCCTCTGTTTATGAGTAATGGCGGCGTGTGACGTATACACATATTATGACGTGTTCCATGACGTATGTCATAACCACCCAATATATCATAACATGTGTATGCTGATATCTTCGGCTTCGCTTGTGATTTCCCGAACGATTCGAAGTCGATTTTTCTATACTCGCACGGAGCGAAAGGATAAGCTAAAAACTAACGAAAAACTAGCTATCCATATGACTGAAATTTAGTTACCAGATGTAATTTTTAACTGTGGAGGCTAATTCTTTTTCTCCGTGTGCGAATATAGCCGTGAAAATTAGCTCCCAGCTAAACTAGGTCTGGTAATTAAACAATGCCGGTAACGAAATTTCAGTTATATTATACGGACAGCCAATGTTTAGCCGTGGGAGCTGGCTTTTAGCTGTGGAAGCTAATTCTTTTTCCCGCGTGGGATTTCGCTCGAAGTAGATGCAGCCGTGAGCCGGCAGGACGTGTGTTTACTTCATGAAGTGGACGAATCGCGCATTACGTAATCATATCTGCGACGATACGTCTATTAATTTAGCTTGCTTTCAATTTTAACGGCTCCTCGATCAATCTGAGATCATTTACTGTTAAACGCTGAATAATAAATAAATGCTGAATTCTCTAACGCTAAGTAGACTACGACCGTAAATAGACAGACTCGCGCGTTCGTGACGGAAAGTCGACAAATTACAATTATATACAATTATATCGTGCCATGGCCATTGTTGCTAATTATATACAAGGTGTCCCAGAATTCCAAACATTCATCCGAACGGTGCTTTTATCTCGTTCGATTTAACTGTCGATACATTGGATACATTGAATAGAGGCGGTAATCGTCGATCACGTGTGAATCACTTAAGAGACGAGATAAATAAGAGAAGAGGAATCGCGCTCGAGAGAGCCGAACGACGAGGCGAGGCGCGGAGAGGACGTCACGAGCCGGCGTTTACGATCGCACGAGCGTGTATAATCTCGTCATTTCAAGACAATCAGCCGTCCGACGTCAAACGCCTCGATAACCAAGTCTTGACGTGTGTACATTATGTAATGCGTTTCATACAAAGCGCTCCGAAAGGGTTCGGAGGGTCAAAGGGCAGACGGGCGGTGCAGGACGGTACGTTCCAGCGCCTTACCGCTCCCAACTATTCCGGATAGAGAAGCATTTTCGAGCGAGTGGTAGGAGTCACGTGCCGGCGCGCAGCGCGCTATTTGCCGTGCAATTACATCGAGAAACAATTAACGACGCGAGACGGACGCCGGGCACGTACGTACGTGCGTGACGTCAATCGTCGAAGATAACGGGCGCGCGGGCGCGAGCGATAGTAATCGGTAGTGGTGTGGGCGGCGGGTGCACCGACGTCGGTTACGTAGAAGAGGAGGTTGCGGAGGAGGAGGGGAGGAAAGAGAGGAGAGGCCGGGGGCAGAAGAGAAGCGAAGTATACAGGGGAGGAAGAAGGGCGACGGGGGGGAGAAGCAGAAGAGAGGAGGATGCTCTCGCGCGCGCGAAGAGAGGGGTGGTTCGCCAAGAATGGCCGGGGCGACGGCGTACAAGGGGGCGAGGGCCGAGGGCGCCGACACCGCCGCCGGTCGAGCCGAAGCAGGGGGGTGGCAATATGGCCGTCGGTCAGTCGGTATCGAACCGCCGCGCCGTGCGGAGCTCCTACGCTGACTCGCGTAGGCACCGTTCTGCTCCGTAGTGGACGGCCGCTCTGGATATCCGCGCGCGCCGCGACGTTCGCGACTCACCGATGGCTTCCCGGCCTCCGCGCGCAATCCTCGAGTATCCCGCCGTCGCCAGTCCGTTCGAGCTCGTGGGACGCGTTAATCGGTCGGTCGCGAGGGCCGCCCGGTAACTTCTGAGCAGTAGCGGTAAGTGCCAAGCATCGAGAGAGGTATCGCGTCCTCAACTTCGACCCGGGGGTCTCTCCTGGACGGGCCGACCGTGCGGATATTTCCACTTGTCCTGACGCGACCGCTCTTCGGCGACCTCGTCGTCGGGGCCTGCTATCGAGGAGTATCGACGGCGATCGATCGCTCTCTCTCTCTCTCTCTCTCTCTCTCGATAGGTAGGAGGTCGTTGTCGATCCGTGACGTCAAGCGAGGATTCCCATTGTACTTGTTGCAGTAGGGCCTTTGTACTCCAGAAAGAGAGAGAGAGAGAGAGAGAGGCGGTGGATCCTTGACGCACGCTCTCCTTGAGACGCTCTGTGTCCCCCCTCCCCACCGTCTAGGCTCTCTTCCTTTCTCCTTCCGCGCTCTCCCACCGCGTATCTCATCCCATGCGATAAACGGTGCAACGTCCTTCCGGGATACCATCGTTCTGTCTTTCTTTCTTGTCAGCCTTTGAGTTCGGATCCAATGACGCGATAAGTAATTATCATGAATTAGACGCTCGCCGATATCGCGCGAGGTACCTCAGGATTCCCGCGGCCCGAAGTTGAGAATATTTATACGCGCGCATAAAGAAGACTTACACGCGACTGCGAAGGCAGTAGCTACGGGTCGTAACTAGACAGACCTCTCCACCGTCTCTCTCTCTCTTTCTTTCTCTCTCTCCGAGAGTAAGTCTCTTCATGAATTTTCATCGACGCTCGCGCTTGCGTGACCGCTTGCGTAGACACGAATATGTTAAAAAAGCTGTCTATATGGCGCATTAAAGGCGGTCCACGTCAAAGAGTTACGAGAGCTGCTTTCTCGGTAACTACCGAGAACAATGGGGTTCTTTCTTCATGTCTTCGGATCTGTGGAAGTCTTTATAAGATACGATTATCGGATCCCGGATTGCGAGGACAATCTCCTTCGCCTCTTCTTTTCTCTTCTTTAATCGAATGACATGAATTTGACCGGTCAGTGGTAGTTCTTTTAATCGTTTGTGTGCCGGGAGAGGTCACAAGGTATACCAAAAGTACCATTCGGGGCGGTAAATCCAAGGCTGACACATTCCCAGGCAGAAAAATTCCTAAACGGTATCTTGAGGACGTCCAAAAGACGCTTTCTTTTTTTAAATATCTCTCATACGTCTTTAAGAGATCTTTTAGAAATCTATCCTGCCTGGAATCCGTAGGATAAATTAATCCGCGCAATCCTATTACGAAAACTACTCTCGAACACCGAAAGAAACCTAAAATAACAAAAAAACAAAACAAAACAATCGCATAACAGCATCAAATCATGCAAAAAAGGTGCGGTAACGCTGTTAGATCTTAAGTGTGTCTTTTTCGCTGTCTTTTTTGCTGAACTGGCTGCACTAGTTTGGTACTAGCTTTCTTCTCACTTTTCCGCCAAGTCCTAACTGTACATCTGTATCTTTTTAAATTTTATAAGTATGCACAAGTTCAGCGAAAAATAACAGATTTCTTCTCACACGAAGAGTAAGAAAAGCGCGACAGCGTTCCCCAGCATCCCTCCGCGTGTAAAACAAAGGAACGTGACTTGGTACTCAAATGATTAAAATAGCTCCCATCCGAAAGATTCCTTCGTACCCGACGAAGCTAAGAAATCCTTTTCTAAAGCCGCTTGCTTCGATCCCTGCAGATTAGTAAAAGAGCAGCGCCGAGGGGAGACAGCGGTGAGTTAGTGGGAATCGCGCCGGTGAAAATTCGCAAACTGAGCGGTGAGATTCGCGTAAACATGGACGCTGGAGCTGGACAGGGTAAAAAGCAGATCCGCGTGGGGTTTTACGACATCGAGGGCACCATCGGCAAGGGCAACTTCGCCGTCGTCAAGCTGGCCAGACATCGGATCACAAAGACGGAGGTACCGCGCGAATCCCCCGAATAATAATTGGTCTGTCCTTTTCAGCTGAAACGGCTGCACCAGTTCAACGGATTTACGCGGACTGAAGCATGAAAATCTCGAGACGCTTCAATGTGTCCGTACATTTCTTGAACTAATACAGCCAGTTCAGCTAAGAAGAACATACGAAATATCAACGTAACAACGGCGATGCGATTCGGGAAAGCAATGTTACGAATCGACGTGTCTCTTTTTTCAGGTGGCCATCAAGATAATCGACAAGACCCAGCTGGATCCTACCAATCTGGAGAAGGTTTACAGAGAAGTGGAGATTATGAAGCAGTTGGAGCATCCTCATATCGTGAAATTATATCAAGTCATGGAAACGAAGAACATGATCTACATGGTAGGGGAATAACAATAACGACGACATCGTATCGCTTCGCGAAAGCCGTTGGGGCGGATTTCCCCCGCGTGACGGATCGCGCGTCACCGCCTCGCTCTGTTTTTCAGGTGTGCGAATACGCGAGCAAGGGCGAAATATTCGACTACATAGCGCGCTACGGGAGAATGGGAGAGCCCAGAGCACGCGCGACGTTCGCGCAGATACTCTCCGCGGTCGAATACTGCCATGTGACGGGTGTGGCGCACCGCGATCTAAAAGCGGAGAATTTGCTTCTGGACGCGCAGATGAACGTGAAGATCGCCGACTTCGGCTTCAGCAACAGATTCGCACCGGGTGAGCGGCTGAGCACGTGGTGCGGCAGTCCACCCTACGCCGCCCCGGAGGTTTTCCGCGGCAAGCATTACGCCGGGCCGGAGATCGATGTGTGGGTGAGTAACCGACAAGTCCGCGTTAACCGAGTGACCAGTTTCCCGAAGACGACCGACGTCCGTTTCCTCCAGTTTTCAGTTATCCGAAACTTTCAAATCGCGCGATAAATTCCAAGACCTCTCTCTCTCTCTTTAACTGAAAACCAAAGAAGCGAGCGGTCCTTCTTCCATCAAGATGCGGGAACGTTCGCTCATCTCGCTCCTTCTTGCAGAGTCTGGGCGTTGTGTTGTACGTGTTGGTATGCGGAGCACTGCCCTTCGATGGATCAACTCTTCAGTCATTAAGAGATCGCGTACTAAGCGGCAGATTTAGAATTCCTTACTTCATGAGCACAGGTACCTATCTCGGGCTGGTAAATCTCGCGCGTCTGTGTGTGTGACGTCGCGCTCACGTATTGAAACTTCCATTGCAGATTGCGAGAGCCTAATACGCAAGATGTTAGTGTTGGAGCCTTCCAAGCGATACACCATTCCACAAATTAAGCGGCACCGTTGGATGGCGGGTACAGCGGACAGTATATGTTCGGTGATCGTAACGAGGCCGTCGTCGTCTATTCAGGAACCGAACGAGCAAATACTTCGACTCATGCACAGTTTAGGAATAGACATCACTCGCACCAGGGAGGTGAGCAAAACGTTCTTTCTCCATTTCTATTGTGTGAAATTAAAAACAGATTTATCTCTTCATATCTTATCTATCCAAACTCGACGAAGAGATGCGTTATATTCTTCGACCACGCGCACTGGTTCTGAAAATAAACGACAGCATTATCTAGCGAATTGCACTTTTTAAGACGTACACACACACACACACACACACACACGGCATTATATAAATATGATTGTTATCTTTCAACAGTCCTTACGAAACAGCAGCTATGATCATCACGCGGCTATTTATTTCTTACTGTTGGAAAGATTGAAGCAACATCGCGTCAGCAGCACCATTAATAACACATGCTGGTCCACTGTTGCGAGAACGAAAGAAGATAAATTTAAATCAAGGTAGATCACGTTCACACGTTATTAAGTATCGTCAGATTAAGTGCACTCTTTTTTTTAAGAAGTTAATTTCAAGTGTCGAGATGTCACGTTTTTAATTGTCACTTCCAATCCTACCAGTCCGGTGAAATATCACGAGAACAATGGCTTAATTTGTCAATTTTTATTTACAGCGATAGCTTAGTGGGACGTTGAACTTTAATGATGGGTGGCGCACATATCGGACATTTTGTCAGGACAGGTTGGATTGGAAGCACATTGCTGTCGCTTTATTTTTGGTAACTCCTCGTTTCATTTTCTTACATCTTTCTTTGTCCCGTAAACTTTTACTTCCAATGATAATTTTAAGTTGCTTCAATTTTGTGTTATTCGTTGAGACGCACTTTATTGTTTGAGCCATTAGATATTCCTTAAACGCTTTTTATATACTGCTATTTATTTTATGTACTCTTATCATTATATTACCATTATTACCTTTTCTTTTTACTTTATATATTTCCTATGTTAATTAGAGTGTGCATCGGCAAGACCTAATTTCTGGCAAATATGTCTTGTAATCTAGATTTCTGTGTATCTGTTTTATGTGAAAATTGAACGCAAACAACACATCGATGCGAGTTTTATACATGAGATAAAGCGTAGTAGGACTAGAAACAAAAATCTACGTTACTTTCCCATAATAGTAATTTAACGTGAAAACGATGTATATACGTAATACATCTCTCTCGTAACAGACTAATGCTGGTAGATAAAATGATGAAAAAAAAAACAAATGCGTGATAAGAACTTTCCGGTCGATTGCTAGACAGAGATCGCTACACAGAGCGTCCGTTCGTCATCGTCATCGCGAGAAACCATTCACAGCAATACCCCACGAATGTTTTCTCCGAATATCAACGGGGCGAATCGTTTTATCGTTTCAGAGCAAGAGAAGATACTGGTAGAGGGGGTAAGAGATTCAGCTCGACGAGCTCCTCAACCGATGAAGGTTGTTGCAGCGCGGAGGGTGATTTGGAGGAGGGGCCGAGCGGCGACGAGTTGCGCGAGGCGCAGATCAAACTCGAGGAACACCGATTAGGCCTAGATCACGATATCAGTCAACGAATTGACAGCCAGATAGTCAATCGACGATTAAGCGATTACCAGCATCATTTTGATAACCCGCTTATGGATCCTATTGATCCTCCCAGTCGGACGACGCTGTTCATGGCGGGCGGCAGCGGTAGCTCGTCCTCGGAACTCTTCGAGTCCAGCTTCGATTCTGGCTGCCCGCCAGATTACACGGGGACTAATTGCTTTACGAGCAGCCTACCGTCCTGCACTCCACCGCCACCTAAAAGTCCATCCCCCATCACTGGCAGGATATCTCGAATCTCTCAAGGACGAAGAGCATCCGACGGTGGGCCCAGATTACTGTTCTGCCAGCAAGGCAGCGGAGACAGGCCATCCAAACAGAGGAGTATTCAAGGTATACAACGTCTTCCCTCTATCTTTCTCCGACAGTTTTCCAACAGAGCGTTTACGATCACGTGATAACGAATCCTTCCAGATTCGGGGAAGGCACGAGGTCACCTGGACCTAGTCCACCTTAGACCACCGTCCACGCCGCCCGACAATCAGCAGCAATTCAAGATGCGTGGCGACTCGGGAACGCAGCTGCAGCTTCTGGTGCAGCAACGCATGCTGCAGCAAAAACGCAATCTGTATCATCGGCACCGAGGCGGCGGCAGTCCAACGCCGATCCCGGTCTCTACCAGCGGCACCAGCAGACGCGCCGATCACGTGCCGAGGCAAGACAGCTACAAGCTGGCCCAGCGAACGCAGATTTTGCCGCCTCTCTCTCAGGGTCACGTCGACCGAGACTTCGACAGAGACAGGAAGCGGGACGAGGAGAGGTGGAAGAGTCTACCGTCCCGATTGGCAGCGGACTGCCAGTTAGCGGAGAGATCGCTAATATGGAGCCAGCAGGTAAATTCATAGAGAAGTTACGGATGTAAAAAATCACACAGTACCGGGCAAACGTATCGGAGCGACTTGTACGGCCGATTTCCTCGAGTGCTTCTTACAATTGGACTGTGATCTCGAAATCTCTATTTTTTGGCGGGAGCAAATCGATTGACCTGTAAAACGACACCGGCAAGAGCCCTTGTACATAAAAACACTCGACGCAGACGATAGGATCTCGTCGAGAGTGTCTTGACGTTATTGTAAATGCCTTGCACGTTTACAATAGTGAGCTGATGTACATAATGTTATTTAGTACCTAAAACTTAAAAAAAAAAAGAGAAGAAAAGAAATTACATACCGATGCGATTTATTAGCACAATTATTTATGTTAAATTGCAAATAAATGATTATTTTTCTTTAATTTAGCAGTTATCTTTTACTCTAATTTGCCTTTACTGCATGAACCGATCCTTGATAGATGATAACTACCCTCTCATTAACAACTCTCTCACTCTTTCTCTCTCTTTCTCTTTCTCTCACAATTACATGTTTCGCAAGCAGAAGGAAGATACCTATAATCGGGAGAACTCTAATTATGTAGAAACCATACATTACTATATAGTCGTCAACTTAAATCCTCACGTGAAAAAAATGAACATTTCCAGAGTACTGCGTGCTGTTACGAAAAAAGTTTACTTTCTCACGCACGCGTTCTTCCATTCTGTATAAAACATTTCGTTATAAGAGATTAGTGCGCCTACAATGCTTTCTTATCATTTCGCTTAGCACATTTTGCCCATGTATGTGTGCATATGAATATAAAGATGCACAAGAAGAATTAAATCACACATAACAGAGATTATAAATAATTGACACGATGTGTAAAACGTTAGGTGGGCCTTAGTGGAGGCGCGTCTTACTTACCACCGGGCAGTGTAGGTGGTTTCTTGTGGCCCACCAGCAGCAATCCACATTCAACCATCTTCGAGAATGTAGGGGATCCCATGGAATAAACTTCTGCCCTATATTGTTAGTAATTATCTTGAGATCTTGCGTATGAAAAGCCAGGCTAAGCTGTTACATCGACTCTCTGTCTATCTCTCTCTTTCTCTGTTCATCTCTCTCCCTCCCTCTCTCTCTCTCTCTCTCTCTCTCTCTCTCTCTCTCTCTCTCTCTTTCTTTTTCAGCAATATTCCCTCTCCAATCTTTCCACGTTGACTTTTAATTATTAAAATAGTTGCATATCATTTTATTTCGAATACGTTAAGAAACTATGTCACATACGAAGAATTTAGTATAACATATTCACTCGTCTGTAATAATTATCTACTTTACATACTCAAGATCTCTGATTAGATGTATGGTACATGTTACTGAATGCCAAAGATTTACACTTTTGTATTTTTACCCATTTGAGGCACTGACGGAGAATTCGGCGTTGAAATATAACGAAAACTTATAGGCGATGTTTCATACAAATCGTTTAAACACTAAAAGTTTTAAGTGCTAAAATGCTGCTTCATCCAGTTACACCACTTATCGCTATAATGTATTCTATGCCCGTGTAAAAAATCATGCCCGTATGTATTCCGTATCTTGAAAGAAAGGAAGTCAATATCCATTTTCTCGATTTGCGCAATGCAAATGGGGCACAAGAGGATTCATCCAGAGGAATCTTTGCCGTACAGTAACATATGTACCTGCCTTATTAAAATGACTGATTCTACCAGTCAAATATCCAATTATATCATAGACTGATAATTAACAAGACGAAACACCAAATTTGGTTGGAGAGCAAGTGGCATATGACTTGCTTTACGGCATCCGCTATTAAGAACATCACAGCGAGAGAACCGTGAAGTTTTGGAGTATCCTTAAGTGAAGTTTTTGATTGACGAGTACGGACTTAGATATAAAATGCTTCGAGGATTCATTCATTTTCGTGACTGTGTGCTCATGCGTACATAAAAACGAGAATGATAGAATGCGATCCGACACGACTTAAGAAAATATTACGTACTGCCAATGAATGAGGAAGAAACGAATGCTCAAGTCGTTGATGAGATATAAATACGTGATGTAGAGTAAGGAAGTAGAAACGAAATATCAAGGAGACACGCAAAGAATAAGAACGTGACTGAGATAGAGTTAAAATTCTTTCTGTAGGGAACCACAAGTTCTATGCCACTTCCGCTTTTCCGTTTATTTGATCCGAAGAGTGGAAACACGACGCGAGAGTTTCGAGGGATTTTCAGTTTTCTTGATAAGCGTTCCAGTAATACTGTACAAAATTAGTGATGTTTTCCTCTCTTCCACTCTTCACGATGGTGACCATAGATAATAGGAAATAATAACGGAAAACAATAATATTAGCGGTAAATAGTAGCTAATGTGTAAGAGACGACGAGAAGTGCTGCATTCTGTAAAGATGTTTGAATAAATTATTTATGTGATCACACGAATTTCCTATAGAAGAGCATAAGTTGAACAGCATTTTGTATATGTTATCTCTTTCTAGAAATATTTATAGTCGCATTAAGTAGTTGCACTACTTTTATACAAGTGTCTTTCATGAATATTCGCTGATACTCTAAATATGATTTCTTCTAAACAGGATGTTCTTCTATTTCTATGGCTCTGTTTTATGAGCTTCTTGCATGATTATAATTATTAGGAAACGTTAAAAGAGAAACAATAATGATTACGAAACCGTTTGTACGTTTGATATGAATACAGCACTTTTAAAAAGAAAAAAAAACTATATATATATATATATATACATATATATATATATTATTAGAACCTAGTAATTTAGTCAGTAGTAAGCAATACCGGCCGCGCACAACTGACAACGACTTTACTATTCAAATTTTTCGCCATTTTTTACCCGACAGGAAACAATCAAACTTCGCTCAAAAATCTTTTGATAAGTAAAACATAACTGTTAAGTTAGCCTAATCGCAAACAAGATCTATCATTCGCAAAACGAACATCGACGCAGGATATCCCATGAATCTCAGGAATTGAAAATCAATTTTGGCATTATTGCGAGTTATTATCTCACATATATTTGTCTTTTCTGGACTGAAAGAGCTTCGAACTGTGTGAAATAATGATCAGTACAACGTTGTTTTAGTGAGCAATAAATGATTAATTTCACCTGTCCATCGAAACATTACACATGTTCGACTCACACGACTCTTGCGAGAAATTTTGCGACGATTACATGTGATACATAGCTATTATTTCATGAAACGTAATCTGTTTAAGGGCTACGGCCACTTTTGCAGAAGTAATTATTTGCTATCAAGCAATGACTGCCACATACGGACTATTCGTCGTATAAAATCTAATAACCCGACTGAGATGGTCACTTATATGTGCATATAACATAAACTAACTAATTCTGTTCTCACGCTCTTAGCAAAGTGCGCATATAATATCACTTCAACAGTCATATACGATAGTAAGTAGTTACTTTTTGTAAATTGCAAAAAAAAAACTGTCGACGTATGTATACATGCGGGTTCTGAATAAAACATATGCAGATTGAAGAATTAAATTAATGTGTTCAGAGCACATTGAAGATACGTTTATTCACTTCGATATCCTATGTCTCCACAAGAGAATCTATCTTTACATTATGAATTATGAAGATGTCAAGGCATAACTTACGACCCTTGGCTAACGGCCCTTAGAAAATATCACAGCCTGTTTTCCCGGCGTTGTTCTTAGCTTCTTGCGACGTGAGCTGTTCGTTTTCACTCGGATTTAAGGGATTCCCATTCTCGTCCAACTGATTCTTTGCAAAGTCCTCTTTTATCTTATCGGAATATATCATGTCGAACAAGTCTTGAGCGGTCAATTCACGCTGCTCGAAATCCTCCACTCTGTATGACACGTAAGGCTTCAATTTGAATCCTTCGAGTGAAGGGACAATTAATTCGGGAATCATCTCTGGCACGGTGACAAACTTATCACCTACTGCATATCCGACATCTTTTACACCCCTCTCTATAATCATAATAAATTATATACACATTAGAAATAATTGAAACATTTCTAATTGATACAATATATTTTGTAAGCTCATATGAATACTGACTATTATGGACAGCAGATTGCAACTTTCAGCTGATTAATAGCAAACTTTTCCTTTAACTTTTTATAGTCTTTTCCTATTTTTATATTAAATCATTGTAGGGGCGAAAAATATATGTTATTGTTATTGACTATGTTTAGAAGAAGCAGTCGTGCGACCACCATGAGATGTTCTATTAAACACTTCTCAACAGTGTGCAAATTTCTTGCATTCTAAAGTGAACATAATCTAGCAAAAGCATACAGCAGAAACTTTAAACTGCCAGTAGCTCTGCACGACTAACACTAATATAGCTATTGAACATAACTATATTTACAATATAATATAATAGTCAGATAACGCAATGAAAAATATCTCGTTTACACCGATAGGAATGTCACAAATAAAAACATCCATGTGAACTAATTTACAGAAAATGAACGATAACTTACTGTCTATTGGTATGTCAGGATCCGGATTCTTCATCTGTGCCTCTTTGAACTGACGACTGCCTCGTTTATTGTACAACAGGAATTTTCGGAAATTTCGTTTCCCATGACAGACGCACGAAGTCGCGATGCTACGCCGTAAGATCATACAGGTAGACGCCATGTCGATTTCTATTATGCAGACAACGCTGATCAATTAACACCACACATTGAGATGCTATTCAGGATGTAATGCAACACGAAGCTATTGATACTTTTCAAAACTGCATTAAACATAACCTACGTCGGCCGATAAAAATTGCTACATACATACCCAGGGCAAACGCAGCCAGTAGAATGACGAATCCTATCTCAGCTGGATCACGTAATTCCGCGCATGCGTAGTGACGCGAACGTCAGCAGCGACCACGCTCTTTCTCCACCGAATTGACGACTGACGACACGTGTTACGTTCGGTCGCATTATATTATATTGCAACACATTACGTAGGGCCTAGCTTGACAATCTTTTTGAGAAAACTATAGCGTAAGTGATTGATTCGAACAATGGATCACCGTAGCATACGATTGATGGAAGATCTCCCAGTGGATGGGCTAAACACAACGTAAGATAAATCTGTCATTTTCACCTTTACTCACTGAGACGATGTGAGCCAAACTCAATATACCTGTATTTATTTATGCTCGCATGGATAGGAGTGACGTCGTGAAAAACAATGGACAGAGAAAGCCTACAAGTTCTTCGTCGTTTAACAAGCTCAAAGTGGAAATGCAAACGTTACAGATATCCGAAGAATCTGAACGACAGTTGTACGACACTCTCAAACATATTTATGGAGCTGTAAGTATATGTATAAATTTATTAGAAAATGCATCAGTATGTTCGCACCGGTGGTTACTTTAATCAACTATTCTTTAATTGTTATAACTGTAATATTTTTGTAGAATTTCAAACTTTCTGATGCTTCTGAGTTTGAGAACAAGAAGTCAAATTTAAATAACCAGTACTGGATGGAACGTGGTAATTTGGTTGTGAAGGGAATAGTGGATTATTCATCCAAAGACACAACTCCCAAAAGTGAAGAGCAAATAACGAGGGAATTTGCAACTTCTAAATTGGAGAGCTACGGGTGGGATTGTTTTCAATGCAGCGATATATTTTGTCATCCATAATTTACTCTGTGTAATGTCAAGAATATTTATTACTTTTTATAGCTTCCACGCCTCACATTGTATAGAAGCTTTAATGCATACGGATGGTGATTTAGGTAGAGCATTAGAAATACTATTCTACAAGTATTATGGAATTAAGGAGATTTCAAGAAATACAGATTATGAAAATATTGATGAAGCTGATTTATTGGAACAGCTGTGCGAGGAGAAAGAAATAATGGAATCTATATATGGCAACGCCTTTCATGAAAAAATAAAAAATCGTATTTGGACGGTGCAGTTGAAATTAAATTATTTAACAAATAATGAGGAAACTGAAGAAGTAGCGGTGAAAGAGAAGAAACAAGAGAAGCAAAAAGAGATATGTCGGCTTTTTATGCGCAATAAATGCAGATTTGGTGATAAGTGTAGATTCCTGCATCAACTGCCAAAGAAAGTATCAAACGCGCCAGTTCAAGAAGATCCATATTTTACATTAGAAATAAGATTTCCCGAAGGTATGACATATAATCAAGTGTATTTATTGAATTACACATAATTAATTGTATTATCATGAAATATCTCAAACAGTTGTGATCAATATTGACTGACGAAACTACATGATAAGTATCTTCATTTTGCAGGTTGTAAATATCCATACGAAGCACCATATTTTTATATTTATAAAAACGACAGGATGTTTCCGCGTATAAACTGCCTAAGAATTGCAAGGAAACTGCACGACCATGCGTTATCTTTAGCTGAGCAAGGCACACCTTCATTATTTTCTATAATTTCATTCTTAGAATACGAATTCGGCGTAAAAACTTATTTGGAGGAGAACAGGGAACAGTTTTTGGATCAATACGAACCGCTGTTTCCGAAGGAACAGGAAAATGAGGAGGAAGAAAGTGCAGCCAGTCATTATAAGCTTGGCAGCACTAATAAGAAAAACAGAGATTGTGTTTCCTGGGAAGAGATTATCAAGGAGGACGATTTGTTAGAAAAGAGATTTAAAGAGAAACAGAAGAACGCCAATTACAGAAAGATGAAGGAGACACGGAAGAAATTGCCCGTATGGTCTAACATGACTAAAATTTTAGAAACCGTACAGCAAAATCAAGTTGTTATTATTTCAGGTGAAACCGGATGTGGTAAGAGTACTCAGGTGCGTGATATTGTTCTGTCAATCGTCACGCGAGAAATTGTCAGCGGGAAGAGAATAATAGAAATCTCAATGAAAACGTTGCAGGTGCCGCAATTTATTTTAGACGACTGGATTATCAACAGATCACAGTCAGGGGACAAGCCTCATGTGAATATAGTATGCACTCAACCCAGGAGAATAAGTGCCATAGGCGTCGCGGAACGAGTGGCGGCGGAGAGGGACGAGAACATAGGAGGTACCGTCGGTTACCAGATACGTTTAGAGAGCAAGATGTCCGGTAAAACGAGACTGACGTTCTGCACCACGGGGATACTGCTCCAGAGATTGTCCGCGAGTTTCGAGCTGCCGGACGTGACTCACGTCATAGTCGACGAGGTGCACGAAAGAAGCGCTGAGAGGTAAATTCTTCACACTTCTCCCGCTGCCTCTCCTCTTTACACGTCGCTTCTCTTCTCTAGCGATTTGCTGCTGATGCTTTTAAAGGAATTACTGCTAAAGAGGCCGGCTATGAAAGTGATACTGATGAGTGCGACACTCAAAGCCGACACGTTCTCCTCGTACTTCGAACAAGCACCGGTCTTAAATATCCCAGGATTGACCTTCCCGGTGGAACAGATCTTCCTCGAAGACGCACTCGAGAGAATCGGATACGTCGTCGAGGAAAATTCCAAGTTCACGCGTACGATCAAGGGTGGTTGGGACCAGCTTGCGATCGATCTGGAGGTCGCTGATATCGAAGGGCTACCTGCCAGCTCCCCGAAAGAATCTATCCAGGACGAGAATTTGACGTTGAAGCAATTGGTCACCAGATATCACGGTTACTCCAGGCAAACGTATAAAAATCTATACGTTATGGATCACAAAAGGATTAACTTTGAATTAATAGAGAGGATTCTGGAGTGGATTGTTTTCGGAGAACACGACTATCCCAGGACAGGTTCTATTCTAGTAAGCGTCTTCAATTTGTCGATCGCGTTCGTTTATTTCAGGAAAGCTTGCGTAGTTGAGAAAGAGTATATTCGCACATTTTGTTTCCTTTTCGACGTAGACTCGCCGAATAGAATTTTACTGCGAGATGTGCGTTCTTATCAGAAAATATGTGATTTCTCACATATTATAGTACCTTGAATAGGAACGCATTGCAGTTATCTTTTGTATCCAAGATTGATCCGAGAGATAGAACACGCAAATAATTGGTCTTAAAATCCATTTGCGACATATTATCATCCTTTCTACAATTATTTTGCTGCAATTGTAGGTGTTCCTGCCAGGCTTTGCTGAGATTCTCACTTTGAAGGATCAACTGTACGACAATAAGAACCTCTCACCGAGGACTAAGCAATTCGTCATCGTGCCGCTACATTCGAGTCTCTCCAACGAGGAGCAGAGTCTCGTGTTTCAGAAAACGAAAAGCGGCGTCCGTAAAATTGTACTTAGCACGAATATGGCCGAAACGTCCATCACCATAGACGATTGCGTCTTCGTGATTGACACGGGAATGATGAAAGAGAATAGGTTTAACTCGGGCTTGAACATGGAGAGTCTGGACACCTGTTGGGTGTCGCGGGCGAATGCCATGCAGAGGAAAGGTCGAGCTGGTCGAGTAATGCCCGGAGTCTGCATTCATTTGTACACTTCATACAGGTTTGTATTCCAATTCCCGTCGAACACAATGCGATATGACATTCGTAATACACGTCTGATTTTATAGATTTAAATATCATTTCTCCGGACAACCGGTGCCCGAAATACTGAGAATTTCTCTGGAACCGCTGCTCTTGCGCATTCGTTTCATGCACAAGGCGAAAAAGATAGACCTGCATAAGATGTTCGGTGAGAAAATTGTCGGCGTCTCGTCTCCTGCGCCTCCTGTTGTTTATTTTAAGATTAAAGTGTCCTCTCGTCACTTTCGCAGAGAGGATGCTGGAACCACCGACGCACGAGAGTATCACGAACTCGATAAAACGCTTGCAAGATGTTGGTGCGTTCGACTCGAGATGCATGTTGACGCCACTAGGCCACCATCTGGCTGCGTTACCTGTGAACGCGAAGATCGGCAAATTGATATTATTCGGTGCGATCTTCTGCTGCTTGGATTCCGCGCTCACCATCGCGGCCTGCTTGTCGTACAAGAATCCGTTTTACGTGCCGTTCGAGAAAAGGCACGAGGTCGACCCGAAACAGGAGTTCTTCGTAGCTAACTCGGACCAGTTAACCGTCCTCAAGGCTTACAAAGTACTTTCGCAAGAGCGAATTCATTCCCGATAGTCTAACAATAATGCTCAGATTTTATTTCTAATTTAACCTGTCAATTCTTTCTTCTTCTCGCTAAAATATTAATTGCTACGCGTCCAGATATTGAGTACCGCGATTGGCTTGGGAAAGTTTTCAAGAAATTTTGAACGATTATTTCTACCGCAACGTGCCGGTTTATGGCTTAAAACTGTTTTTCCATATTTTTCATATTTTTGACATTATTGTGTTGTATAATTTATATTTCTCTTTTTGGCAGAAATGGTTAGCTGTACGTTCGCGCAGCGCTCAAGCCGCCCAAGTGTTCGCCAGCTTGAACTACTTATCCGTGCAAACCTTTCACACTCTAGCGGATATAAAGTACCAGTTTTTGGAGTTGCTAGTATCGATCGGCTTCGCGCCTGTCAACTTGCCCAAGAGGCGGCCAAATTTTGACAATATTTTCGAGATTACCGGGCCCGAGTTGAATGTCAACAATGAAAACTACAAGCTGCTGCAGGGTCTCCTCTGCGCCGCGTTGTACCCCAACGTGGTGAAGGTTTTCACACCGGCTAAGTCGTTCCAAGTACAATCGGCCGGCGCGGTTCCTATCCTGCCTAAGCCGGAGGAGTTGCGCTTTCAAACCAAGGACGACTGTTATGTCTACATCCACCCGTCGTCCGTGAACTTTCGCACCGGGCACTACACGAGCCCGTACCTGGTGTACCAGGAGAAGATCAAAACCAGCCGAGTTTACATCAAGGAGGTCTCCATGATCCCAAGCCTGCCGTTGTTGTTGTTCTCCGGCTATCAGTTAAACATGGAACTGCACAACGGCACGTTTGTTCTCTCCCTGGAGGATGGCTGGATCATGTTTGTAGTGGAATCGCACAGGGTAAGTTTGCATTCGCGATCAAGAACGCAAATATAAGAAGGGTCTATTCGCAATACGTACGATTCTGACGGTTTTGTACTACTTTCAGATGGGTCAACTCCTGCAACGTATTAGAATAGAACTGGCGAAATTGTTAGAACAAAAGATGCAGGATCCTCTGTTAAATCTCTTGAATCATCAGGAGGGCAAGCAAATTATACGAACGATTGTAAATGTAATAACAAAAGCATAGATGTTTTGAAGTGTTAAAATGAAAGAGCATATCTACAGTTGCCACGGATATAGAAGGACGTTTTCTTCGAATAAGACGACCGTTTGCCTAAATAATGTGTATGAGAATATGTTTTTTACCTGGACAATTTACTGTGATAAGCAGATTGATGTCGAACTATTCATTCAAGCATGTTGCAGCACAGGAAGAAATGATTTAAATTGCATGTTAATATAGGTATATATACTCATTTCTTAACAATATTAAAATATATTTCTTTAAATTCGAGATATTTCAGTATCTATTTTCTATCCTTTTTTAATTTTTGATTAATATATACAAAGATGAAATTCTCATATAATGGATAAAATTCAATAAGTTGTAACTATGGAAAAAATAATGAAAAAAAGATAGTTCTGAAAGCATTCTACAGCTTGAAATTTCTATTAAGGGTTTCGATTAATTTTAAGATTTTTGACTCAAGAACACATTTATTCAAAATAAAAAATTATACATTGCATTTCAATCAAAATATTTTCCACTGTTTGCCATAACATTTGCCCATCTTTTTGGTAATAAGTGGATTTCACGGTAGAAAAAAGACTTATTTTTAAAAGCAATCCATTCATTAATGAATTTTTTTATTTCTTCAAAGTTTCAAAAGTATGTACCTTGAAACGTTTCTTTCATCAATCGAAACAAGTACAGTAAAGGTCATTGTGCAAGGACCTTAACTGTCATCAAAGAAATTCACTATAATTCGTAACTAGCATCATCTAATGTCAAACCTAAAAAATACCGAGACACCAAAGATTTTGGGTATATTTTTAAAAAAGTAAAATCTATTACTTATTTTATGATCTACACAAATATAAATCAAGATTAAGAATTATAATCAAGAAATAAGGGATCTGTATCAGATTTGCAGATTAGCAGACCTGTTTTTTCTTCTTTCAGGAGATAAGGGATCTAAGAAATAATTAAGCCCGTTATTTCTGAAAACTCTCCTTTACTTTCAAAGTTCCGTTATTAGTCGTCACCACACTTATGTCCATATCACATTAGCGATTGTGTCCGCGCCTGCGCCCGAGTCTACGTTTATCTCTCGACCAATCAGAAAGGAACCACTGGCAATTTGATTGGTCAAGAGACGCTACGCAGACACAATCGACAACCGCTAGTGTGATACAGGCATAATTCTGTGTGAATCCCGTGTACTGAAAAATACGCTGTGACGTTCGTCAACGTCATATGTGTTTATCGCGTTTTTTTTCCAGTCCTCACTTTTTTGACTTTATAATTATAGTGCTGAGTGTTTGACTTGCATATGTGACTGCAATTAAATATAAGCGCGAGCATCGTTCTCGAGAAGTCTCATTATAGAAGTCTGTAATACAATTAACATGTCCGCTCTGCAAAAGTCAATTTTGAAATCCAGACTGCCACCATCGGCCGTCAATTTTCCGGCATTAAATTCCAGGTTTGTGTTCGTGATTTCACGCAGAAACGGGTTAAATCTCAAATTGGGTAGAGCGAGTGTTTTAAATTGCTATGGATTAATTTGATACATACAGAGTGTTTTCTTATCCCTAAGGATTAACAAGTTGAAGGGAGCTCAACGAAAGAGAGACTACGATCCAGTGCAATGGAATCCGTACTTTGATTATTCCAAGGATGTATTAGTGGGACAGAATACTTTTCATGTTTATATCAAAGGCACTGAAGGGCCTTTGCTAGTTTTATTACACGGTGGTGGTTATAGTGGCTTAACTTGGGCAGAACTTACAGTAAATATTTGAAATAAATGAAATAAATATTTGAAATAAATCATTGAAATAATTTATTCATTCTCTATGAGTAAATAATATGAAATATAAGTATTAGAGGAAAAAATAAAGTGCTAGGGACATGTCGTATACACAATAAGATTAATATATATTATGAATTGTAGAAATCAATTATGACAATGGTATTATGTAGAATAATGGCAATTGATCTTAGAGGTCATGGAGATACTTATACTACAAATGATGAAGATTTGTCTGTGGATACTTTAGCATCGTGAGTGAGCTATACTTTTATCGATTACTTTAAGTACATCTTTTTTTACTTCCCATCCCTTCAAATAAAAAAGAAGCTTACAATATTCACACACAGGAATATTAAACAAGAATCCTTTATTAATATATGTTAGGAGAAGTTTACCATATTTAACAATATGTATTAAAATATCTTTCATTTAGGGATGTTGCAGCTGTTATAGAAGTAGTTGAACCTGAAGCACCGATTATTCTCGTTGGTCACAGCATGGGTGGAGCAGTAGCTGTGAGAGCAGCTCAACTAATTCCAAATTTACAAGGATTAGGAGTTATAGATGTTGTAGAGGGCACAGCGATGGATGCGTTAGCTTCGATGCAAAGTTTTTTAAGATCTCGTCCATCCAGTTTTAGCACCATATCACAAGCTATAGAATGGTGGTTGGTATTTATTAATTAGCTAATTCCTTCTTTATCGAATATATGCTTAAGTTTCTTTTCATACATCAATATATTAATATATATCTGAAATTTGTTCTTTATTAAAAAAAAATTATTAGTTTGCCCATATAATTAAAATTCAGCTTTCTCTCCCTCTAATGTTCAATGAACTATTGTTATAAGATAAAGTCAAATGTGAAAAAGTAAATTTTTTTATGAATTACATTTCAGTGTGCGCAGTGGTCAGATTCGTAACATACAGTCCGCAAAAGTCTCGGTTCCTGGGCAGATAAAGAAGTTAGTGAGTTCTTAGTCCTTAGGCTAATATATATTTCATGTTAATGATAAATATTAGAAATATGAATGTCGAGTTATACGACACACGTGCCATTTTCAGCATTGAAACTAGCAAATTAGCAACTCATGATATTGACACATTGTCAACCCAATACACGTCTGAATCTAATCCAGAACCAGTCATACCGCGAGATGATACTATCCAAGAGGAAGATTCGTCCAGCATGCCACCACCTGTGTCTCCTACTGTCCCTGTCAATAGGAAGTACGTATGGAGAATAGATTTGGCAAAAACAGAGCAGCATTGGTTCGGCTGGTTTAAAGGACTGTCGACGGCATTCTTGAATGTCTCGGCACCGAAAATGTTGCTATTAGCAGGAGTTGATAGATTAGATCGCGAGCTCACCGTAGGACAGATGCAAGGTACACGATTTTCGAAATTGTGCAGTACGTTGCTTCTATAATATCTTCTAACAGATTATTTATCTATAAAAAAACACAGGTAAATTTCAAATGCAAGTATTGCCCGCGTGCGGACACGCTGTTCACGAAGATGTCCCGGACAAAGTAGCGGAAGCCATTGCTACATTTATGGTTAGGCACAAGTTCGCGGAGCCGGCATCGGATTTTCCACGGTAATTTTCATTTTCATTTAACTCATCCAGTAAATAATTAATCGATTTCTACCCTCCGCATAAATAAATATTTGCTACCTGCGTCACAAGTTATTTATGTCTCAACTGTATAATTATTTATACTTTTTTATATCGGGAGGACAAGATAGTGGGAATACTGCTTGCATTTCTCCCTTGTAATTTTAGTAATTTTGTGTCACCGATTTTGCAAAAAATATTTAATTGATTGTAATTGATTTTTTCAGGACTTTCCCAGCTTGCTAAGAAAACTTTCAATGTAAACCTATTGAACAATGTGGGGGATTTCTTTTAATTAGCGATATAATTATTTTATTTATTTCAAGGAGATACACTCATAAAATATAGAGACATATACCGTACATGTGTAAATAAAGACATTTATCTTGGTGAGAAAAATAATTTGTTCTTACACTTCCTTCTTTTTCGCTAAATAGAAGCTCGTCAAAACTTTGACTTTTACATCTTAATCGATATTATTATAATTTAACATGAACATTTTATTAAGAGAAATATTTCTATATCTACAAAACTTATTTTTCGATTTTTACACTTAACACTTATTCCCTATCGCTGATTTGTAGAAAAAGTTAATAATTTATTGCAAACCACAGAGAAATGCGGAGAAATTTTAAATATGGAGAAACTGCGTCTCCTCTTTTTATGAAGAAACCATGAATGCTTGTATATACAAATTCTACTAACAAATTCTTACATGTTCTAAGTTAATATGACAATATGATATGATATCTAAATACAAACTGCCACAACCATCTTTATAAAGACTTCTGTGTCTTCACTTTGACTATCCTTATTTGATGACGTCAGAAACGAAAAATCGTATGTCAAAATATATCATAGCATACGTGGAAATAAAAGGATGTGCATAAAATGGCATTCGTGACAGATTTAGCACACTTGTAGAAATGTCCGGATACTTTCCTTTAACCTGATCAATCAATGAATCGCTATAAAATTAACAAAAATCATGAGCAAAAATAGGCTAACAATATAAGTTGTATGTCACACTAATTTTCGGCTATTTGTTAATTGTTCAGATTAAAAGGAAAGCGTTCGGACATTCTTACAAGTATGTTGAATCCATCACGAGTGCTATTTTATGCATATACTCTTTTATTTTCACATATGCCCTAATATATTTTGGTACGCGATTTCTCGCTTCTGATGTTATCAAACGAGGACAGCCAAAGTGAGGACACAGGGGCCTTAACACAATTATTCATTAGATTGAATGTTTATATAAAATCGCAATATCATGTGTACATATTCGCAGCGAAAATACTGTTTGCCAATATCAATACGAAAACTTGTAAAAATTCTATAAAAATTACTCATATATCAGGGAGGAATTTAATACTTATTTACGGATCAAGTGTTACCTAATATTATTTCTCAGAAAAAAAGTAACACTGCATTTCATTTAATGTGCATGCAAATATCACAAGAAAAATAGGAAAAGAGAATAGATCGTTATATACTTCCTGAAGTACGCAAATTATATAAGGAAGATAAGACAGATTACGAACTATTTAATAAGAAGTTGCCGAAGTGCCACGGGCTAAATCTTTTACGACGACACAGGGTCCTGCGCGGCCAGCTCTGAGAGGAGCAACCTTCAAATACAAACACATCTTGTAAATTTTTTACACATTTTAAAAATTACTCTTCTACTGAATCACAGCAATACGTGCGGACTCGCTCGCCTTTTTGAAGCAATTTTGGAACGGTACATCGTCGAGAGCAAACGATGCCCAAAAATCACTTCAAGGACAACCAATTCCGAGCATTGAACTGTACCGACACTTACAGGTTCCCACTCGTTGAGGTGTGGATCGTAAGCTTCTACCAGCGTTAAATACTGTTGACCGTCGTATCCTCCCACAGCCATGAGTCTATCACCTAGCACACAAACACCGACTGCGTCCCGGGCCACGCTCATTGGCGCGACCATAGTCCACGTGTCAGTTTTAGGGTCGTATCTATCAATCACGTTATGCTTGTGACTATACCGATACACTTGCGTTTCATATAAATTGATGAAATTCAAGGGAACATATTTGTTTCAACGTGTAGTGTGAGAAAAAATTCTTTTGATATTCTTCTTCGATATGATTATAGAGAGGGATCAAAACTTAATCTACATTAAAAAGTAACAATTTATTTATTGTATGACGCAATAGACGCATACGACCTCACCTTTCCACGCAATCGTATCTGCTAGCATTGGGATTACTGGCTGGGGCATCGTGGCCACCGACTGCATACAGGCAACCATTCAGAACTCCCACACCAACACCGCCTCGCCTTTTCGACATAGCTGCGCACGGTGTCCACTTGTTAGTGTGCGGATCGTAACACTCCACGGTGTTTAAACAGGAGCTGATGTCCCTCCCTCCTACAGCGTACAACCTATAAAATAAAAAAGAAATCGATAACATTTCTTCATCCATGAATTAAATATCAAGTTGCCACAGACCTGGAAAACCGGGGAAAATCATGGAAATGAGAAATATCGGGGAAAACCTGGGAAGACCAGAGAAAGATACAAAAAACCTAGAATCTTAAACTTTGCTCACAATTTCCTTAAATGCTTCCAACTGTATCCCTTTTTCTAATATTCATTAATTTTTTGTCGGCATTCGAGGTTATATTGTATCACTAAACTTTTAAGTTTGTATTATTCTTCTAATAATATAAGCTACTTTTCCTGCAATCCTTATCTCTAAATGTTAAAGTTTAACATTACACATTGTTCATGGAAAATGTTTCACCGTCGTCTGGAAAACATGGAAAAATCCGGGAATTTCAGAATTCATTTTCCGTGGCAACCTTGAAATATGCATAGATTTTAAATAGATCCTCATATATAACATTGACCATCAATTATAAGTTTGTTAACTATAAATTGCCCAACCATGCTTTAAATCAGTACACTTACTTATCATTTAATGCAGCCACGCCGACCGTAGATCTTTGTATGGACATAGAACATACCGAGCTCCACTGACGCGCCGCTGGATCCCATCTCTCAACCGTATCGAGGAAACTCCAACCGTCATGCCCACCAACAGCGTACAAGGGTCCACCTAACACTGCCACTCCTGTAATTTTTTTAACGAATGTTGTATTTATCGAAAAATTAGGATGGACCTCGCATTAATTAATTTATTATTTATTATCACATACCTAACCCATGACGGTGAACATTCATGGCTGGTAAAGTGCTCCACAGAAAGGTGGAGAAATCAAAGCATTCCACCGTATTCAGTGTTTTTAAACCATCCCTGCCACCTGCGACAATTACTTTCTTATCGACTATCACCGCACCGAATTGCAATCTTTTGCCGCTCATGGTAGCCAAAAACGTCCAGGCGTTGTCACGCAATGAAAATGCATCTATAGACGTGGCACCTGGAAATTTGATAAAGCATATTTTACTACTAAGAAGGAAAATAACAACTGACATTTCCGGCTCATTCTCAGGTACGTTTTATACATATTAATACTGATTTCTCATATTGATATCACGTCGTTTTCTTTACATCAGTCGGGATTTTAAATCACCAGCATTGAAACAACATTTCGTAGATATTAAAAAAACATTACCTTTAGTAGCATCCATTCCTCCAACAGATAACAACGTACCCACGGTGGCTTTCCTTGGTTTCGTCCTTCCTGATTGAAGCAAGGCTCTTCGCTCAGGTAACAAATGATATTTCAATGCTTCCATTAATAATTCCTGCGCTATCTTTTGGTCCTTGAACATGTCGTTGCTCTCGATATTGTCAGCTATAAACTGTTTTAATTTGTTAGTTGATCCAATTATTAATACGATTCTAAATTGTGCTGTTAATGAACTCACCGCAGGTGACAGTAATGGTAATTTGACTAGACCTAGTAATTTACTGGCGTCTTTGCTCCTGTTCTCTGGATCGTGTTCCAGCCAAGTCATAAGTGCCTAAAAATAACAACGTTCTTGTGTAAAATTGCCTCAAAAAGATTGCGGGCAAATATTTTATATAAATTCATTAATTTCACAGGTACGCTATTTTTGACTATTCCTGATCTTGCATTTACAAAGATCTTGTATATCTAGGTCCTGTATTTGCAAAGTTATATATAAGAAATTCACACAGTGTGCAATCAAGTTCTTACATGGAAGATAGTTTCTTCCGACGGGACGTTGAGATCCTCGGATTCAAGTAGTTTTGTAACCTCATTGGCGGATAAAAGTAAGAACTCTTGGTTTCTTGTGACTTCCATGAAATGCTTGGTCGTGTATGCGTGCGCGTGCTCAAATAATTCTGTACAACCCTGAGTATCCGCAAACATCCGTATGCCCAGGCAGTTGCTCGGGTGAAGTTGCTTAACGAGAAATTGGCAGCACGCTTTGATAACTGGATTCAATTGCAGCAAGCATGCGGTTGCGAGGAGGGTCTCTACACTGTCTTCTTGTAATTCTATGCAACCTGTAAGCATACATGTAAACATGTAAACCATTATCAAGGACCAAATATGTTTGATTAACATATATGATAACCAAATATGTATGATTGATATTATTAATATCCTTAATCTTATCCTTCCATTCCAAAAGTCAAATGCTCCGAGTCAGACATTGCAAATAGAATTACCTGTGTAACAATAAAGAACCAAAGCCCATAATGCATCTCCATCTATATCCATTAATTCTATTTCCTCCTGCGCCGCCTCTCGCAGAGAACTTGTGAACATGGCAGCAAAGTATTCAGATCCAGCGCTGAGCACCAATCGATGAGCCGGGAAGCGTCTATTTCCTATGACGAATACAAGTCATCAGATACAAAGGACCAGGGTATTTTAAGGTAAAAGTGCCAATGCCAGGCTACTTAAATCTAGATATTCTGATTGTTTCCCTCTTTAAATACGAAGATTGAAACTTCTAACATAGAATATATTCAATCCATGTACATTATTCTATGTTGAAAGTTGAAATATTCACAGCCCAAAACAATGAGAATGTTACTTCAACGTCAGTTGAAATTATTGTGTATAAATTAACAATGCCTTCTCACATCTTTCATTATTTACTATAATCACTGCGAGTGTAACGGCATAAAATTATTCACTAATAGGAGATCCCAATAACGATTTTCAACAACAATGACAAGGAAAAAAGGAAGGAAGCCTTGACATCTTGAATCATTCATCAATCAACAATTCCGAGCAGCAACGATATTCTCAACCGACGCATTCGATTAATCATCAGCCCCCACATCACCGACGGACGCGACGGAGGTGTCACCGGGACGGTTTTCCGCTCACCCGCGATCAACGTGACGTCTGTCAGCTGCTGCTTGTGCAGGTAGCTCTCCATGACTCGCAGGCTGTTCTCTGCGTGCTTCGGCGAGACCGACACGCACGAGATCATGCTGGAGATGCTGTGCTCGCTGGCGTCTTTGTCCAAGGCGAACTCCTGCTGCTCGCCTTTGTTCGCGGGAGCGCATCCCGCCGCTGCTTTCGACGACGAGGACGGCGACGACGATGACATGCTCGACCGTTGTAATCACGCTCGGCACGGAGGATCCGGTTTATTCGCGAGGAAGCTCCGGGGATGCGTCGGGCCGAGGTAAACAATGGATCGCGCTCAGCTGCGGTCAACGACCATCGCTCTTTCCGTTCCGCACGGGTCAGCGCACTCGGCACCGACTGCCGCCGCGCATTCGATCGCATCGAGCGGCTCTCTCGCGTTCTCTCGCGATGCGTCGCTCGTACGTACATACACAGACGTACGCGTACGTCACCACATGGAATAAACAAAGAGCCCCAGGCCTGCGTGCACGGTGTGTGCATGCACGAAGATGTATACGCAGGAGGGGGCGTGTTAAATGGTGCACCGACTGGGCCCGGATTTTACGAGAGCGCCGCCGATCCTCTCGCTCTCGTTCCTTCGTGAAATGATTCGATTGAACCGTGGCATTTGAAGGGCGCGAGCGAGACGGCATGATTCTTCAATATTACAGGGAAGCTTGATCGCCCGACTGCGCGAGTCTCAGTACCGCGTTCACGTCGACTCTCTTTACCGCTGCTGCTACTTTACTACCGCCACTTTACTCTTCCGGCTCTTCGCGCAAGCAGCTGGTAACATGCTAATATTATCATAAGCGCGTTCGGAATATGAGCTGGAATCTCAAGTGGAAGTAGTCAGAATGGAATCGCACAGTCCGCTACAACTGCGAAACAGCGTATGCTGATAAGTTTCGTGTGAAAATATACCTTTCTCTCTCCTTCCCGATTAAAATCTGAGTGTTTTCTGACGAACGCGAGCATGTTTTAATTTTCATGATAATATCACAGTAATGAGAATATTACGTATGAATAGTTACGATAGTTTTTCCAGTTTAAAAATATCTTGCGTGGAAGTGCAAAAAGTCATTTTTAAGAGCCAGGGTTTCGGCGAGAAATCGTCACCCTCAGTCCCGACCGAGCTGTGTCGGAAATTGCAACGTCGGGAATTCGATCGGACGAATTTACACGTTGCTCGCGTCATTTCGAACTTCGCAGGCTGTAACGGCTGGGGTCGTCGCACGACGGCGACGCTGCGTGCGTCTCACTCGATATATTCGGCTCTCGCGTACGTCTTCACGCCCGAAGTTAGCCGTTGTTCATGTTCGATAGCTCGCTTCCGAGCGCTTGAGCATTATGACCGTTCGCCAGGGGATCCCGGCCGACTTCACGCTGTACGGTGTATACAAGGTCGAATGTGATCGCGATTTAATGGAAAAAAAAAGAAAGTTATTATTGTACGATTTTTTTGTCAACGTCGGTAAAGGTGAAGGAACCTGAACTAACTTAACCTATTGTAAGCGCATGGCATAAGCGTTTCAATGAAATATATACTTGGATATGTGTGTATTTACATACCGATAGCCTGAAATAATTTATGGTAACTTGGAGTAAGCTGTAATTAAAATGCAACGATTGGATAACAAGGCGAAGTTTAAATCGTTTCTCACTGTGACAAGCAGTGCTGTTGCTCTGTTTGGTGGTGTCTCAATCTTTCAGGGCAATGAGAAATTTTACAGAGACGCAATTATACCTCTGGTTCAGCTAATAGATCCAGAAACTGCCCACAATCTTGCAGTGACAATTCTGAAGTGGGGTCTTGTGGCAAAGCAGAAGGTAGAAGATTCCAAGTCACTGCGAACAAGTGTGTGGAACCTGCAATTCAAAAATCCAGTTGGTATGGCTGCGGGATTCGACAAACAAGGAGAAGCAGTGGAAGGATTGCACGACATTGGTTTTAGCTTTGTAGAAATAGGTATATATTGTACAATTTGTATAATAGATACATATACTATAACTTAAGCCAGTAGCACACGATGTTTGTTTTCGTGCCGGATTGCTTGCTGGATGGAAATACCTCATTCCTTCATAGTAAAACATCTCATATTTTGCAGGATCCGTGACACCGAAACCTCAACCTGGTAACCCAAAGCCCAGAGTCTTCAGGTTATCAGAAGATAACGCGGTTGTGAACCGATATGGATTTAACAGCGATGGTTATGATGTTGTATGGGAACGTCTGAAGAAACTGAGAGAAAATCAGAATTTTAATGGTATTCTTGGGGTAAACTTAGGGAAGAATACGGATACAAAAGATGCTGTTCAAGACTACATCAATGGCATAAGGAGATTTATGGATGTAGCAGATTATTTTGTAATTAATGTATCATGCCCTAATTCTCCGGAAGTGACATGTTTACAAAGCAAGAAGAATTTAGCAGACTTATTAATCAGAGTAAACAGCGCGAGGCGGTCGATGGGTAGTAGACAGCCGTTGCTCTTAAAGTTGGCCCCAGACTTGTCAGAGTCTGAACGGCAAGATGTGGCGGATGTGGTTTTAAATGAGAAAACCAAGGTCGATGGTCTGATCTTGTGCAATACAACAACTACACGGCCGGAGCTGACGAATCCCAACAAGAAAGAGAACGGTGGCCTCAGCGGTGCTCCTCTGACTAATATTTCCACCACTATGATCTCTGACATGTACAAACGAACACGTGGTAATATCCCGATCATTGGTGTAGGCGGGATTTTCTCGGGCGTTGACGCTTATGAGAAAATAAGGGCCGGTGCTTCTTTAGTGCAGATTTATACATCTTACATATACAATGGACCGCCGATAGTTGGTAAGATCAAAACTGAATTGTGTGAGATACTTGAGACCAATGGCCTTTCTTCCGTCACTGATGCAATCGGCAAAAATACGAAAGGTAGATAAATAATTCACGTAATTTTACACATGATTTCGTGAGAATAATGTTAAATTTTATGTAATGTACATACAAATGTATCATTATGTAGAATCTGTTTTCAAGCTACAACACAACATGCACCAACATATGTTACAAGTCGCAGACTTCATTAAATTCTATTAAAGTTACAATTGTGTACGTGTGCCAAATTATTCTTAATATTACTTTTAATATATACACTAATAAAAATCACAATGCTAGCTAATGTTGCAAATAGCAAATATATATATGTTTTATTATTCAATGTGACATTTTTTATTTGATATCATATCCTGTATCGTTCCTGGAGGGTTATATGATTTTATGAATTTAGTGATGCGCGCATTTGCATTGAAATATAAATCTGCAAGTTTTGTAAGTCAACAAGTCACGTTTCTAAAACGAATGGGAATTCGTTCGTTTCGTACGAATTGAACGTTGCTCGCGCCACTTCGAACTTCGCAGGTTGTAACGGCTGCGGTTGCCGCGCGGCGGCGACGCTGCATGCGTCTCTGCACACTCGGCACTCGCGTACGTATTCACGCCCGAAGTTGGCCATTATTCACGTTCGATAGCTCGCTTCCGAGCGCTCGTGACCATTCGCCAGGGGCTCCCGGCCGACTTCACTCTGTACGGTGTACACGAGGTCGAATGTACCCACGGCAGTCTCGGGGTCTCTTCCCGTAATAACACCGTAAGCGGAAGCAGTCAGCTGTTGTGTCAAGTGAACATCCTTAACCAACAAATTGCGCGGATATTCGGCCGATCTAGCGGCGAATCTGAGCAACACGTGGCGAGCTGCGATACGGATTACTAATTCGACGGTGCCCGACAGTGCACGGCAAAGGTAGGACAGAGTCTCTTCGCATCGACCGCGTTCACCCGTCGTGGGAGAGATCGAGTCACGTCTCGCGACTCTTTCGCACCTCCGCGAGTAGCCAGTCATCGACACACGACACCTCGCGACGGCCACGCGTGGCCTCGTCGCTCGTAACAGTTCTCTCCCCCAGCAAAGTGCTCGTCGCGTCTCCTGCTCCGTTTTACGTCGTCTACGCCGTAAAGAGAGAAAGAGAGAGAGACTCTGCGACGTGCTGCACCTTTTTCGGCTGTTTACAATCTCGGATCGTGGATCACGTCGGAGCGGGCACGTCGAAACTGTCTGTTATGCTAACATTCCAACGCAGTATGTATTGATGGCAAGATCGTTCGACGTCTGTGATACGAGAATAAGATCTCGAGAATTGTGGACTCTCGAAGGTCTGCATCTGACGGTCGCTCGCTCCCCTGCGACGGACGATGACACGCTCGAGTCGTAAACGCGATGTATGTGAATATCAGCGAAGAATGCAAGTTGTATTTTATTTCGTTGCGATCGCGTCGTTAATATTCCCGAGCCTTCTCCGTGCCGAGAAAGGTGCAACAGGTTTTGCTGCACTGGTATCTGATGTTATTAATCTGGCGGAAATATATGCTCGTGACCGATTCCTATGCTCGGAGAAGTATGCGTAACGTTAGTTTAATAATAGACCGACAAGAATAATGGCTCTGTATTAATTAATCTGTTGACTGTCCAGCGAGTTGTGTAGGAGAAAGCAGTTGCCAAAGTCGCGCGACTCAAAGTATTTTCGAGGTGTTTATATCGCACTGAAAACACAATGCAATTTGTTAAAGCTCAGGTTAGGTTTTTTATTGCTTATTTGTTTCATATGTTCCCCAGTAAACGTCAGTTGGCAGGAACATAACAATGTTGTGATTCCCTGCTCTGCAATGTGACCGTTATGTATAATATATGTTATATTGCATTTGCATTGTTGAGTAAGAAATTATAAATATTGATGTGACGTTACTGTTAGCTGATGTTTACTGGTTACCACTAGATTGCGTTCGATGATTACAGAAAAAAAATAATATGTACGATTTAGATAACCGAAATCAGGCATCTATCTTCCCTATATCTTATTATCCACTCCATGAGGCAACTTTTATTATCGCAAGCATGTGAAGATAAAAAATTACGTAATATAATTAAAATAAATCAGATTATACAAGTGACGAGTTGTCTCACACAGTAGTATTCCTGTCGTGCCTCTGGAAATTCAAAGGACCCAAGTAGGGTGACGTCAAATGACGTTTCGATGACAACTTGTTGACAACAGAGATGTCATTATAACGTCTGTAACCTGCTACTTGGAAATGGTTGAATATAACGGTCAATATGTTAATACTCATTTATTTATGACACAAGAACTATCAAAAGGTAAAGGAATAAAATTGTTGTTTCCTCGGGACAACTTTTCCTTTATGAGAATCCAGAAACAAGAGATCTCTTCGTTTCACTTTAAAAGTTGCAAAATCCCTCTGCGAATTAAATCACACGTTATGAACAGATAATAGAAATTTTTTTGGTAATATTCACACAGACTTTTTCCTAATAGATACTTAATTTTGCCAGTAATCGTCGTCTGATGCAATGTAACAGTACGCGTTAAACAATTTGTTTATCACGGAACAATGTATCGCGCATCTTGCATTTTCACAAAGAGATAACAAGCAGGTATATATTTCTTGCAAATATGTACCGTCTATCTGTCGCAAAGAGATACGATCTCTTTCTCTCCCTCTCTTTCTCTCCGTGTCGCGAATCGAGCGTGTCGAAATCCGCACGTGTTACATGACTTCAAGAATTGCAACACACTGATTATTCATGCGTCCTGTGAAAGACGCGGTGAAATCGCCGATGACCATCGTGGCCTGTATTATTATTCTTCTCTTAGGGAAAGCCACGAATCGTTTTGGCGAAAGAAACTGTTTTGGAGGATATTGACCAAGAATAACGAACGGCAAGTCGTTTACATTTATGTGTATCCCGTGATGAAAATAAAACCGTCCTTCTCGCTCCGAAATTGTTTGCTTCAAAATCACGCTTTTGCGAAACGGATCACTCTTGCTATCTGCGTCGCGCATTTTTACATTACATATCTATTCGTCTACGTTCGTCTACACGTTATATTATATTAGCATTCCGTCTCGGAATTCTCGTTAGTGAAAGTATCCTCAGACGACGCAATATGTCCAAATTTATCTGCACACGTTTTTCTGCTCAAGGCTCAACAGGTTTCGCTGTATTTCCGTAACGCTTCGGCATTTTCAAAAATAAAACACAGTCTTAAAAATTTCTTCTGTGTGTCTTGAACGGCATTTGCATTTGTCAATCTTTAATTCTGTAATGAGTCATTGAATGACAAATGACGTTGCTATTCCAAGTCGTGTGTAATTCCGAGTCTGTCAGATTTATTTTTATCTATTATTGTTAAATTAACTGATAAAATGTTCTGTACACATATTACGTGTTGTATAACTTCATTTACAAGTTTATGTAATGTTTATGTAAAGCGACAGGATACCAACTGATGCAGTAGTTCAAGAAAATCTTAATCAATAAATTTTACATTTATGAAAAACCTTGTATCAATTTTATAATTTACACACACACATACACACACACACACACAAAATTTTAGAATCTATATATCGGTTTCTTGTAAAGATTGCGGCCAAGATATTTCCGATTTTTTCCCCCATTTCCCATTTAATTTTAATATCAGATTAAAGTACTCGCCAACGTGATTATAAATATACACGTCATAAGGTGTAACCATAAAGTGTAACCATTTACCGTACCAGAGGAAATGGACTTCAAAAGTTTCAATCCCGTCAGATGAAATAATCGCTATTTGTCAGGATTGAGACTTTTGGAATTTATTTTCTCTGGTATGGTAAATGGTTATATCTTAAGACATATATATTCGTAATCAGGTTCACGAGCACTTTAATCTGATACTAGAATTGAGTACAAAATCGAGTGGGGAAAATTTTGGGAACACTATCTTTGGTCGAACTCTTGAATATACAATCTAGTGATTGATAATGATGATATAAGTATGATATTCTCATATAGATGTTATGAATAAATCATATATTATGCTGAAAATGTCCAAGTTTCTAATTTACTTGTAATTGATTCGTTTGCAGAATCATTGTGAGCTCAAGGCGAGGAATATGACTCTGTAGCAGTGTGTAATACTTCTCAGTATCTCTCAGGATGTTTAAAGAAAACGACAATGGTGCTAGTGGTTGCAACGGCGCGACACCACGTCCACGGAGGTTATTTCCTCGATTTTCCTTACGCCGATTATTGTACTCCAGCCCGCTTATCGGTCGTCGTATCGTAAGGACGCCCAGTTCAAGTAATAGGAATGCGAAAGGTAAATTTCAAGTTTTACTAAAATGTAACAATGACTGGAAACTGGATTGTGAGATGCTCTCTACAATGTAGAAAATATTTCTGCAGCTAAAGATCAAGCAGGTGGAAGGGTGACGGATGTTGAAAAAGGAGAAGCCAGAGTGAGCAACGGTTCGAGCCATTTCCAATTCCATAACATAGATCTTCAGCGTGCTTCCAGCAAAGGCTCTGGCTTGTTTTCTGCAGGAAAGGTAATCCGTTGAATGAAATAACGATAACGTAGTAATTATATCGGAAATAAAGGCAAAATTTCGGATGGATTTACTTAACGATGAGTCATCATTGATAAGCACATGCATGTTTATTATTTCAGAGTAACGATGGACCGATGGAATGTCCATTGTGTTTGGCTGACTTACCGGCAGAATTCTTTCCTGTTATCCAGTCTTGCCATCATCGTAGTTGCTACGATTGCTTTCAACAGTATCTGAAAGTAGAAATCTCCGAGTCCAGGGTTAATATCGCTTGCCCCGAATGTAATGAACCATTACATCCAAATGGTAAGCGCATTCTAGCGTTATGTCCAAAATCTCGCGTGCAGAAGCTCCTGGTCTCTCGCTATATTCGTCTTGTTTGATGACGTTGGAAGCGGGGAAACATATGTCCGAAGTACACTTTGAAATAACACCTTGCGGTCCCCACTTCGTAATTGTGCTCTTTGATTCCAGTAAACTGAGCTTATAGTTCATACTTAGTTCATACTCAGCTGCACCTTTTCGACTGCAAATAAATACCGATATAAATGGACTTATTAAAATCGAAGCCCATTAGCTGTTTTGATCATAAAGCTTGGACTTGTTTCTTACCAATGAATATAGTGAATTTTAACTTTTGCGCTCGTTTTTATTTATTTCAGACAGTCGAAGATAATAGTTCCTTTTTTTCTAACTGGAAAAAGTCAAAGGTAGACATATTGATCCTCTGAGACTATAAATATCGTTTTTTAAGATTTCCATGTAATAGACTATAGACTTTACTTTGAAAGTATTATCTATTATAATTGACTGTAAAAAAATTTGTGTGCCTTCTAAAGATGCAATAATATCGCCTGTACATCACTGGAGATAAAAAATCTCCAGTACACATAGTTCTATTAATTAATATTTTTGCGCACTTTTCATGTACTTTCAATTATGTGTCATCCATAATTGTTTTTCACTTTATAACGTTTGACTGTGGCTCTTCCCTCACTTTTACAATTGTTTCTAATGTTACCGAACACATTTTGCTCTTATTTTTCTCCTCATATGTATTTTCAATCATAGATTTATATATCGTTAATATATTAATGTTTTCACATCGTAATGTTATATATCGTCAGCGGACTCAGCGTCGAAATTCGCACGACGACGTTGTATCATCGGCGAACTGCAAAGTGTTAATAGGTCCATAAAACGACACATGTGATCAACCGAGAACACAATTTGTAAAATATCTCGTAAACTCTTTTTTGCTCTAATAATCAATAAATAATCGTAAAATTACCATGACACACAACTTTCCGTTTCAGCCTATCTTGTCTCACGTGTAATTTCATCATGTTAATTTTATAGCTGTTTACTAATTGCTGAAATAAAAGGAAATTTTTCAAGATATCTTACAAATGTGCTCAATCATACTCGTATCGTTTTATGGATATCATTTTAATTTAATATATTCCGCAGGAATTTTAGGCATACGTTGTTTTTTGCTTCTGACGTAATTAATCAAGATCGCCGCAGAGAAGAAACGAGAGCCTTGAGCATAAAATTTGCGACTTTTCGTTTCTTACGATTCTCCGTCAACTTGCTTATATGTACAGATATTCGCATGATCTTGAATGACCAAACACAGTTGGAGAAGTACGAAGACTTTATGGTTCGAAGAGTGCTCGCCGTAGAGCCTGACGCGAGATGGTGCCCCGCTCCTGACTGCAGTTTTGCTGTAATCGCCAGTGGCTGTGCATCGTGTCCAAAATTACGTTGCGAGCGGCCAGGTTGCGACTCATACTTTTGCTATCACTGTAAAGCACAGTGGCATCCGAATCAGACGTGTGACGCTGCTCGAGCGCAACGTTCTCAGTACTACGAGCGTAGTTCCTCTCTGAGCTTTAGTCAAACCGATTCTCAGCACAGTGAGTTAAAATTGTATTCCTACGGAGTAATATTCGTTCGATCGATCAATAACCTTGCGTTGCGCTTATATATTTATAATTCGTAATCCGTTCATAGGGGACGACATAAAGCCATGCCCGAGATGTCAGGTTCTGATCGTCAAAATGGATGATGGAAGTTGCAACCATATGACGTGTGCGGTGTGTGGCGCAGAATTCTGTTGGCTCTGTATGAAAGAAATCAGTGATCTTCACTATCTTAGGTATGTTCAATCGCCTTTTGAATGAAGCCGCAAACGCGAAGAATAGTGCGTAAGCGTTGGGCGTTACTTTTGAAAGTGTCTCTCTATCTTCAGTCCTTCTGGCTGCACTTTTTGGGGTAAAAAGCCATGGTCCAGAAAGAAAAAGATTCTGTGGCAACTCGGAACTCTGATAGGAGCTCCAGTTGGAATCGGTCTCGTCGCTGGTATAGCATTTCCTGCTATGATCATAGGTTTGTACTAATATCTTGAAACGAATATATTATGAAGATAACGTAGAAACGTAGATTATACGTAGTAAATCGAAATATGATAGCGATGAGAAACTACGTGCTTCGTACATTTCGTGTTCAAGGTATACCTGTGTGGGTAGGACAAAAGTTGTACACGAAGTACGAAAAAGCGAACAAACACAAGAGGAACGCTTTCATTCTTGGCGGTGTTACTGCATCGGTAAGTTAATTGCTCTTCATTAACGTAAAATTTTAACGTTTCGATGTTTGCGAGATACTAACTAATGAATACGAGTGCGCTCAGACATCAATGCTCCCATAATTAACGACCGTCGCTTGTCGAATATTTCGTTCAAGTCTCACGTTTTCACGCGGGAAAACTCAGGTAAAAATACGGAACGGTAACGCGAATTTCAGCTGTGACTGAAGGAACGATCAGAGGTAGATGTATGACTCTTGCATCGATCGAAGTGAACATTTCGTTTACTGTTCGTGATAACACCGAAGTATATTTTATTCATATAGTTTATACAGAGAACATGGATAATACAATATTTGTATATATAGCGTTAACAAAACAGCGCGTTTGCTGGAATAATTGTCGGAAAAAAATTTATCACGGGACGTATTCGGGCAGATGGAACATAATTGTTTCGTGTTTCTCACTCACACACACACACACACACACACCCACACATCTCGCATTACATCTCGAAGATATTTGAAATTTCGATGCATGTTCTATGACATTAATCGTATGTCTAGTTGATTCCATCCTAGCAATTGTATATCACAACTACCTGCCTAAATCTTTAATGACTTGGCACACAGCGCGTTTAAAGAACGTTCATCGGCAATTGCTTGCCGAGCGCAGGAACCGAATTGAAGACAGAGATCACGTTGGAAAGATCGGTGGGCTGTCGATATCAAAATCAATCTCTTTATTGCGTGTAACTATTTTTAGAAAACGGTGCCTCCCGATTCGATCCTATTTCGGAGACTTTCATCGCATGACGGCGAGTGATTCTTGCATGAGTAGTCATTAAAATGTCGTTCTAGCTTTAAGGAATAATATCCGACGGGATGTCAAAGCTTATGCTAACGTATAACCGAGACATCTAATCGTGTCGTGTTTAAGCATACTGATTCCGATCGATTTCCCCTCGCCTAGAGCATTTCCGTCACATAGTGAAGAGACCGAGCGTAACACAAATTTCTAACGTCCACTATATTCTTCTGATGTGAGCCGTGCTTTGTTTCTGTTCTTTCCGTTTGCAACTATTTCCTTCAACGCCCGTGTTTCGTGTCGCGTTGCTGCTTCGACTTCCTGTTTCTCGATCGGAAACACGAAGATCGCTTTAAGCTACGGATGGGCTGTCAAAGTGCCTAATCGTTCCGTGCGATCGTATCCTCGCTCCGAGTCACAGCCCAGGAAGTAGAAACGTTGGTTGCGGCGGCGACGGATTAAGGATCATCGGGCTCGTTCCTCGCGAGGATGGCTTCGTCCGTCAACACGCCGTCTTTGTATAGATCTTCGAGAACGTCAATCAACCGTTGCTCGGTTTTGGGATTACCGAGCGCGATATCCACAGAACCGATACAGAGTAGGAGGGCCAACAGCTGCGATCTCCTGTAGTCCTTGTTGAAGTCCTCCCGGGTGTATCCCAAGTCCTTCTCAATGTTCACGCCGAGGTAGCCGCTCGAGAAGGTCAGCTTTGCCCAGTACGCGTCTAACAAGCGGTTGATGTTCTTGCGGCGCAACGTAGATGACACCGAGCTCAATATCAGCAGTGCGACGTCATTGGTCGGCCGGCTGTAAGTGACCATCTGCCAGTTGATGGCGTAACAGCTCAACTGTCTTTCGGAATAGTGATATCTATCATTGAAGACCAGATTGTTGCACCAGAAGTCGGTGTGAGTGATCACCGCAATCGGGCCCTCCGGCGCGAGCAGGGACGAGATGATGTCTTTGGTGCGGGGTCGTAGGCTCAGCAGAGTCTTGAGGATCGGATGCAACCCCGGTCGGCACTTTAGAAAGCGCGCCAGCAGCGGCAAGCCTCGCTCAAACAACTGTTGATACGAATCGGCCGCCTTGGCCGTTTCGAAGAGGAACGGGTATTCCTCGAACATAGACAACTTCTTCACGACTTTCATCGCCAATGTGATACCGTGGAAGTTGGCGATGGTTTCTAATGCAGCCTTCGTCTGAGATAGGGTCAGCCCTTCGGAGAACTTGTTGTCTAAGCATTCGGTCGAGTCACGCACATCTTGCAGCAAAAGCATCGATTTCGATGGCACCGGATTGTCGTCGGTCCCGCCCGCTGGGATATATTGAGAATGGTAGTACCTCGGAATCTGCAGAATGAGTTCGAGTTCCCTCTCGTCTCTTACTAGCTTCATTAACTGGTCATTCCTGAACTTGTTCAGATCCGACAGCACCTGAAGCAGACCAACACGAACGGGAGATTCGTTCGAGGCGATCATCCCGACTCGATCGTTCGATCTCTTACCTTCGAGTAAAAGTTGATCTCTCGGAAATCGAATAGGCCCTCGGTGACGAAGAAACGGCTGAACGGATCTTTCGGTAGCTCCTTTATGATTACGTGTATCTCACTCCTGCTCTGACACTTCCGGAAATAGAATTTGCCATCGATTTTAGTGATGGAGCACAGCGCACCTTCGCTCATGGTCTCGGGTTCCAACTCGAACTTCGTGACCCTTACCTAAAAGAATCGTCGTGGAGGGATCGCCGTTAGAATCAAGATTCGAATACATCAAACGTGTTACGATCTTGGTCGAACGCGTATACGCATTCATTAATTCAACAAGACTGACCGGTTCGGCAAAGTACTCGCTCAATATGCCCTCGAACCACTCCCTCCCGAATTCCCACTCCGGGACCTGCTCCTCCTCGCACGAGGTATCGGTCTCCTCGTCTAAATCGGACATGACTCTTCCTCGGTTGCTCTTTTTCTTCTTCTACCGTTTCTTTTCCTCACCTGAGGCTCCCACTGGCCCGGCGACTCTCACTGCTCGCTGAAGTGCGCCGTCGAACTAACGACAGCGCTGACGCAACGGACGCGCCTTTCGAGCCGATCGCTTTCTCACGTACGCGCGAGACGGTCCCGCCGTGCGTGAAATCGCCCGTCGCTGATAATGGAGTCTCGTTACGTGCCGCTGCCTCTTCCCGGCGCCACGTCCGTCGCCACGTCCGTCGCCGTCGTCGAACCTGCGTTATGTGAGTGGCCCGCTAAATCGATGCCCCAATACAGCGCGCACACCAGCCTGACTCCCTGTCGGCGTCTTTTGCGTCTTGTTTGCCGAAACGGGGCGCGCATGCGCGAGACAAAGGACTGGCGTGGGGAAACAAGCGAAGGTGAGATGGCTCCTAACCAGCTTCTCTCTTTTCAACTCACGCGCAGGTAGCGGAGCAAGCCACCGAGATCGGTAATAATAGCTTCAACACGCGAAGTTACATCGCCCTGAAACTCCTCGAGAGAAACCTGCGTCACAGGAAGGTTTAACTAAAAGCGTTATGCCGACCTGTGCCTTCCTTTTCTAAACCGTGTCGAAGGTGCGTGCGCACAATGAAGGAGCTTCCGGTACACGACACGTCCGGAATCTTTCTCTCGCATCCTCTGCCTTCTTCCCTTCCCGATCGGTCGGTATACGCATTTAGTACAGTTAGAATCTAACGAAGCCCAATTCATCTCTTTGATAAGGAAGTAAATCACGCCTCGCTTCGCCTCCCATTTCCGACTCCTTCGTTCTCGCGCGCTCCTCCGTTCGGATCGGCAAAAAAAAAAAATCAAGGAGTTGCACCGCCGTATATTCCGCGATCCTAGCAGGAGAGGAGCAGTGGTTACCCTTCGATCGTCCTACGGCGCGCACCGTCGACTTCCTCACTTCTCCGCCGACCTGGGTGCGCCTATGCGAGCCGGCATCCTCAATCGTTCGGCGTGGAGATTACGCAAGTAACACTGACCGACGTGACGGGATGTTGTCGCTCGACTTGGCGCACTGCTCGGCCGCGGGGTGTTTCCAGGGAGAGAAACATATCAGGAGCTTGCCGCGCATGCGATAACACACAACCCGACCTCGGCAGGCTTGTGTTTGTACACACAATGCGTGTTTACGGAGCCACGTGACCTCCTCGCTGGCATTTGTGCGCTAATGACACGTGAAATACGGTCGGACTCCACATTAAGGATCTTTCGGTTTTAAACGCGCCGAAGAGGGATTTAGGGGATACGTGAAAACGCAAGCGGTAAGAAAATCGATCAATCGATCGTTGTCCTTGGACGAAAAGGAACGATTGACTGTGATCGGTCGACTTGCGCTTGCTACTTCAGTTTCACGTTTTCGCGTGTAATCATGAGCCTTGCGGAGATTGCTGTTTCGCACAGCTTCTCTTGAAATTCTTCTCCGTTTCTCACCCGCAAAGGTCATATCGATACTTTGTTACACTGTTGTGTATGTTAGCACGTACACGTTGCATCATATAAGTTTTCTCCAGATCGAAAGATACGCGACTTCATGTTTACGCATGTACGGTCGGTCACCGAAAAGGTTGCGACATTTTTTCCCGATGAATTTCGCAGCGCATCCTCGTATCCAGAAAATGAGAAATACATGTATCTCCTAAAAGAATAACTTACTAGAAAAGAAATTCTCCCATTGGACATTCGATGGCGTTCGAAAACTTAAAAAGGAAAAAAAATGTTGCAGCTTTTTTTTTTACAACCGACCATACGTATGGGTCGAAGAATAAACGATGGTGATCGGTCAATTTGCTTGCGTTTTTCTATGTGCTAATAAAGTCACAAGTCGTGTAAGTAACTCTAATTATCGCGATAACGGCTCTAATGGTTTCGACCTCATGCGTGAGGTGCTGTGAAAATGGTGCAATTTTCGATCCAGGGGACGGTAAGACACACACAGAGGACGCAGTGCGTACGCTACTGAGGTCTGCGCACGCCTGCGAGGGGTTTGATCTTTCCACACTGCTGCAGGGTGGAACACGGAGATATCAGCGTGCGCGCGTACTCATTGCCGATCAATATCCTTCCTTCCTCCCGGATCTCTCCTCCATCCACGATGTGCATCCCCTATCCGCGGTGTTCGATCTCGGCCGGGTTTTCCCGCGTGCCCCAGCGAAGTGTCTAGTTGCGCGCGAACCGACGGGGGCTATCATGTTGCATTCTTCTCTCAACTGAACGGGCTCTGCAATGAGAATTTAAGCTCCATGCTTGAAGAAATTCACCAATCACAGCCCATTATTCTCCTCATATTCGACACTGTAGCTGGCAAATTTCTCAAGGCTTACAGCTTAAATTCTCATTTTGGAGCCCGCTTCGAAAAATGTTGGACAAGTCACATCTTCTCTATGTATAATGTAAAAGAAAAACTTTTTTTTCTTCGGTGGAGGTCCCAACGTTGCTGTAAAGAAGCCTCCAAGTACCGTCGATTGACTCCGCAGAATTGACCGATCTCACTCTGATCGATCCAGCTAATTCGCCGATGCTGGTCAATTCCATTGAATTAATCGTCGATTAAATTTCAACCATGACGGTAGAAACATTATCAGAGCAACCGAGTCAATTTGAGAATATTATTACTCACGAATAAGATTAGTCATGATTAATCATGAAACATTGGTCATTGAGACAAGGCTTGCTGTACACTATGTGGCAAAGGTAGGCGAACGTAGGTGAACGTAGGCGAACGTAGCTGAACGTAGGTGAACGTTGGCCATTATATTGATCACTTATGTTGGGCGAATGTGACGTACGTGATAACATAAATAACAATGATAACATATATGATCAATATAATTGACGAAAGTTCGCCTACATTTGCCACATTGTCTGAAGTCTGAAAAACATCGAGTTAGGAATCAAGGAAAAGATCGAATCAAGTTCCGTCGCGAAGTAAAGAGAATCGCCTTATCGAAACGAAGTTAACTAAGACACGTCGTTACTTCGCCGATTATCTCTCGGCGATCCGCGACGTTGATACTAATATCACGTTCTTTCGGAACGAGATCAGGCCTCGATTATTTCCCGTTATCGCTAATAATAGGGGTGACTCGGTGAATTTTTATCAGCGATGCAATCTTCTTACGTCCATCTCCGATCTACCCGTGGCCTTCGATCAGTCTAACCATTCGTTATTTATAGCACTCCCGTGCATCGCGCTAAGACGCTAATAACCTCATCTCCGTGGGCGGTTTGATCACAAGTTTTTACCGGGCAACGGCACACGTCGATGAAAGTGTCTCCGACGAAGCGTGCGGAGAAAACCGGATGCTTTCCATCATTGACAGGTTGCGAACTTCCGTTCTAGGTTCTGGTATCACCGGTACTGGCAGGGTTGGCTGTGGGGATCGGCGTCCCCATATTACTGTTCTACGTCTACGGCGTGGTTCCGGTGTCGCTGTGCCGAAACGGCGGCTGCGGCGTCACCAGGAACGGCACCGGCGTGCGCTTCGAGTTCGACGACGAGAACGAGCTGATGGGCGCTTTGGGCGCGCGCAACGCCGGAGGTGAACACACACACACGCGCGCACACACGTATTGTCACGTCGTGTACACTACGTGTCTCGCCCCGATCCAGATAGTTCCATTCGCGTGTGCATTCGCGCTGTCACACTCATTCCATTCATCCCACCGCGTCGGATCCAGCCATCGCGATCTCGAGCCCATTGTGAGTCTGTGCGGCATGTTGCAGATGCGGCATCAATAGACGTCGCGAGTCACCGCGGCGGCAATCCTTCAATAGGGGAAGCCTCGCTCTCATTGGGTAGCGGCAGTCAGCTGGAGAAATTGGGCCGGGAGAATGATCGCGAGAGCGCCAGCAACGTGGCCCTAGCCGGCACCAGCCTCGCGGGGAGCATAGCCTCCAGCGTACTGCCCGGAGGTCAAAGGTATTCCCTCGCACCTAATCTGGAATAAGTGCTTGAAGAAACTGACCGGTCACAGTCGAGTTATGGGGAGGAACGATCGATTCGCCAATTTCTCAAGGCTTTAAACTCTATTGTAGATCCAGCCTGTGTTAAATGGTGTCTACAATGAGAATTGAAAGCGGCGGGAAACTGACCGATCGTAATTGATTTTTCTTGCATAATTCGACTGTGATTGGTCAATTTCTCACGACTCAAAGCTTACTACATCTGTCGTGGACTGAGACTTGCGTCTTAAATTCTCTTCGTAGACGATACTTAAATCGGATGATATATCTTCTTCTTTGCTGCCTCTCTTTGACGCCGTCATATAATATATCTGATTATGTTGTACGCACAGGTTGGAAGTCCAAGCCGACGTTACGTCTACGCAGCGTTTTAGTTTGTGCAGTGAGACCGCGTCCGCGGCTACCAGCCTGTCGGAAAAGTCGGTGAACGCTTCTATCGCTTTAGACGATGGCGCGGCTTCCACGAGGGCTTTGGCCGGTTCCGTTCTTAATTTTAAGGTGATCATTCTTTCGCTCTTGCGGTAAATTGTCAAGCGGAAGCTGCTTAGTTGTTCTTTTTATCACCAAGAAGAATATTAACCCTAGATTATTGAACTATCCTGTGACCTACGTTATTATTTTATTAATCATTCGTAAAAATTAGGACCGAAAGAAAACACGTAATATTTTAGAAAAATATTTTTATTTGAGAAACTTACGTTGCAGATATTTATGATAGTTAAACCCAAAAACAATGCGAAATTATGATAATAATTATTCAGCACTATTTGAATGCGTGTTGACGTTGTGGACGCGACTTTATTGCTATTTTACAACTAATGCAATTGTCATTTTCGGAGGGACACGAAACGTGTACACTACTTGTGTGGTAGGAGCGTCGTAATTTTCACGATAGTTCAGTGATTTAGAGTGAAATTCGGCTCGAAAACAAATAAATTTCGTCCTTTTCATGATTTCTCCCCGTACAGATGGACAGCAGTTCGATCAGCGGTGGCAGAAGTACGGAAGGGGAGCAACCAGCCAGCTCCGCTAATGGCGGCCACATGGACTCAGCCGGTCAGGCGACATCGTTGAGCTCGTTGGAAGAAATGGCGCCTGGTTTGGCGAAACGAGCCCGGCGCAAGCTGACGTTCGATCCGCAATGCAGCGATTCGAGTAGCTGGATCGTGAGCGGGGAGGACGGTGTTTCGGAACGGGTACGATTCGACGATCACGTCAGCGTGATCGAGGCGGACCAAGAGAGAGTCGTGGGCGGCAAATTGGAAGGCTGCGCGATCAACAGTCGCTCGACGGGTGGCCGTAAGCGCAATAAAGATTGGGAGCAAGAGACGGATGTCCAAAAGACGTCCAAGTACGAATCGCGGGTTTACTTATTGAATTACTAACCGAATTGCATTGTGATTGCGTTATTATTGTGTGATATGCACAGGAGCCCAAACGGTGAGTCGAACGCCGAGAGCCCCGTGGACGATACTACGCGGGAGCGCATCAACGTCGCGACGTTGAGAAACGTGTTCTTTCACACCTCGGCGATATCCACGGATCGCGAGAAGCGGCTGTCGGTCATAGAGGAACCGACGTCGGCCGTATCACAAGCCACCGGCAATCGGATCTGCACCCCTTGCGACCAGGGTCAAAATTCTACGGACGAAAGTTTGCATCGCTAAGAAGGTTTAAGACTGAGCATATAGGTGTCTCGATGTATGTATAGATATGTCACGATGCGTATATACATGTGTTGAGTGTGTATATATGTATTAAATTGCATAAAATGTACGGACTGCATAAATGTGCGTTAATAATACGTTGAGCACAATAACTGTACATAACCCATATATACCACGCGATACGCATAGTTCGGATGCTACACAATATAACAAAGAGATAAGAAAAATATCGCAAAGAGTAATTCTAGTGATTGTGTGCATTTGCGCTGTGATCTCGTGCATATATGATACGATGTGACTATATGTACCGTATATGTATATATACATGTGTTATATACATATATGCACGTATGTGTGTAAGTATATATGTAAGTATATACGTACGTATATATATACATATACACAATACGTGACATACAAACAGTATATGGCCCCCGATTCGTTATAAACAATGAAGAGGAAAGTCGAATACCAAATTGTTTTCGCGTCGATATTTAATGAATAAATTACAATTGTTATTATGTAGTCGAGATGGAACATAATCCTATTATTTATATTAAAATTATTCCCCGATTGCCGGTATCTGGTTTGTAACGAACAGGCGGACAATACGAGCTAAGAAAAAGAATAAAGTGAAAGTTTAATCTCACGCCGCTGCATTTTGATAAGTCGAATACTGCTCATTAAATCTTTAAGTATTACACGTTTAATCGTGTGTTTAATCTATCGACTAATATATATATAATAATACGTGAATATGTGCATCTCCCAAAAAATATGTCGGCCCTTGCTATGTGAAAATATATGTAATACGAGAAGCAGCCTTACCTTTTTCGAAACGATAAGTATTTCTTCGCTCTTTATATGTAAGAGTGCTGCAGATAAGAAATATCGTAACTTTTATGATACATAATATTTTGATGTCTTTTATATTTACATTTTTTTCAGCTTACATGGCGCACACGAAATATTTTTTTTACTCAATAAGCGAAGAAATAATGAGTTTATATACTTTGCATATTATTTCTGCATTTGTCAGTTTATATGCATACCGGTTATAAATAGCAATGATACAAATGATTTAAAAGAAACAGTTTTGTATTCTTTAAAATAGTCATAATCAATAAATATTAATTTTATTTCATAACTTTTTATGTTAAACTCTAAGTCAGATTAATTTAATGCTAAGTCAAACTCATAGAAGTACATGATGTACATTGGTTCTGTAAAAAGAAGTTTAAAATTACTATTATAGATATACTATAGATATTTTAGGCGTTTAAGTAATTTCACTCTTTATTTTCTTTTTACGTGTAAGAAATGATATGTTAATCGATAGCTTATAAAAAGGTAAAATTGTTTTGGATATGTGGACCCAAGAAAAACCGAATTTTGAACTATGACATAACCCAAACAACACATATGTCCAAAAGACGTTCCAAAGACGTTTTGTAGACATCTTATTGTCTAAAAGACGTTTTTGTGACATCTGAGGGCATCTTAATGTTATCTGGGAAACTGCCGCATTCTCTCTTTATAAACAAACAGTACTAGTTATATTTAAGCGAAATTTACACCAAACGTATATTTGCAATTATTGATAAATTTAGCGTACAAAAAAAGTACTAAAGTAAATGCATTCTCAGCATGTTATGTTAGCTTCAAAAGATTAAGTAATCTTGTTTAAAAGAATAAATAACTCTTGTTTTTCTAATATCGTTGAAAACGTCTTTCAAATGAAATTAGAAAATTTATATGATGAAAGAGCGTTTATTAAAATATATTGTCAGAATCGATTAAAAAACCAATACTTTTTATATAATAAATTACGATTTCTAGTTTACAATTTTAATAGGCCTTTGTAATTATGTTGTTACACTAGTATCCTACTTCAAGATTCAGATATATGGGATATGAATTTTCAAATGCAATTATATTACATTTTTGCAAATATATTGATGTAAACTATTATTTTTTAATTAAATATTTTTTGATTATATATTTTAATGATAACAAAGCCATTGTCATCTTGAGAATCCAGTGTGTAAAAAAATTTATTAAACTATATAATTACAATAAAAATAACAAACTTAACACATTGCGGACGAATGACGAGATATCTCGTCTTTCATATTGCGTCGTTAGAGAAAACATACCCGACTACTGGGTACGGTTAGCAATAAAATATCTGGTCCGCAATGTGTTAAGGAATACACTGTGAAAGAAAGAGAGAGAGAGAGAGAGAGAGAGAGAGAGAGAGAGAGAGAGAGAGACGCATAACTTTCCAAATACCGATCACGCTACCTTTATCGTACAGAAGAATATAAAAGAAATTATTTAGAATTATTACTTAATGTGATTAGAGTGTTGGCATTTACAAACAATATGTAAGGGTAAATTTACTTTGCCTGTACTTGCCTGTCATTAAAAATATTGTACAGCACAGAAGTATCTTTTAAATAATGCACTGTTATTATTTTACATGCTAATGTAACAGATGTATATATTTCTCTGGGAAGCGAAATAAACAGCCACAACAAATTAGAACTGAAACATTACCTTAAAAATTACAATTTAAAAAATATTAAAGTTTATACTTAATATGGATGTTTCGTAACTTTAATTTTTTTTTACATTACTCTATAAAAAAAAATTACTTATAAATAGTAACATATAATTAAATAATATCTATTATTATTCAGTGAAGCATAAAAAAAATTAACTCACTTATATAAAAAAATGTTATATTTTTTAAATTTATAACGATCGACTTAGAAATAGAGGTGACTTTTTAAATAGTTCATCCACTTTTATCTTAAATAATTCACTTTGTATAGGCTCATTTAATTGGCAGAGCGGATTCTTTACTACATATTCCAGGTATACCTAAAATAAAATTATATAATTATGCTAATTTGCATATTCATACTTCTAGTATGAAAGCAGATGTAAAGTCTTACTTCTCTGTACAATTGTTGCAACAATTCTCTAGCATTCTGACTTGCATTGTCAGTATTTAGGACAAACTTAAGTCCCGATGGTGTTTCAAAATAATGAAGTGTGTATTTACTTGTCTTGTAATACAAAAATCCTTCCTTGGGATCCAATGGCGAGATTTTACTTACAAATGATTTTATCGAAAATAACATTCCATACATTAATTTCGCTTCCTAAGTTGTAAATATATTTCAAATAATTATAATCTAAGAAAGTTCGCTTATTAATTTTGAAACGTATAATGTAGTAATATAAATATTCTAACATTTAAATTATATATATAACATTACTTTATTACATTCGTATGTATCTATTTACGTATCCGACATTATGTATTTTTTCATAAAATTGTTATAAGAAATAAATCAATATTATTTGCTGATATGTCAAGTTGAAGTTTTGTAGGTTAGGTCTTATGTAATTGACATTTAATCAATCTGTGATTACGTTACCTCTTCCTTTGTTATTCCTGATTTGTTTAGTCTGTTCCATTCTGCATAATACAATAACGTACCGGTTTTCGAGAAGATGTACAAATTGTGAATTGTCATAGCCGTATTCAGTTTCCTTCGTTTTACACAACCCACACTCCAAGTACGTTATACAACGTTTGGCAGATAAATCAATATTTAATATTATCTTTGATAAGGAATCAACTATTACTTGATGTTTCTTTAAATCAGCTGATTCTTATGTTTTGTATCTGTTTTTCAATTATGGCTGCGGACGAGGCTTAAGGCTCGTCTCTATTGACCTGTTCTTTTTCGCTGCACCTCTGAACTAGTGCAATAAGTTGAAGTGAGAAAACATATACTTGTCTCGCTTTAACTTATTGCACTAGTTCAGCGGTGCAGTGAAAACGAACAGACCTCATTGCTATCAACTCTGTCATGGTGAAATTACACAGTGCGTAATAGAACTGCAGAATAGAGAGTGCGTCATAGAAGCAACCAATCAGCGGTACTCCGCTTCTTTCTATCATGCAAGTTTTGTGTGCTGATTGGTTATTTCTATGACAAACTTTCTATTCTACAGTTCTTTTAAGCCCGACTACAGATTGGGGATTGAGATTGTATTGAATTTAGCCAATCAGTGTAAAGTTAACTGAACTCAGGTTTAGTGAAATTTAGTGAATTCTATGCTGAGTGATCAAATTCCAATTCGATCTTTATCTTTAGTTCATAGTCTGATACGGGCTTTACATATCGTGTAATTTTACCCTTAAGGGATTTTAAAAGATCTTAGGTGGATCGATCATGGTTTTCATTATTCAATGCAGGCGGAATAGAGCAGGGTTGCACGAAAAAGTCGCGGAGTATATCTCCTCCACGTTCTGGACTCCCAAGCGATAAAGATCTAATGTGAGCTTCTTCGAATGGTCCATATAAGTGGGGCAGTGAAATAAAATGTGCTCCAGATCTTTTGTGCCGGAGTCGCAATTGCATGCTGGAGTTTCCAAGATATTCTTCTGGAACAGATGGGTATATATTTGATGCGCTCTGATCTATCGGGCATAAAATCCTCCTAGGGGTATTTTTGCAGGTCTTAAACCAGGGTTTTGAAGATAGATCTTTGTTTCGGCGCCAGTAGGTTATTCCCTTCCACTTGAAATCCTCTTTCAGCGATGCACAATGGACTAGTTTTAGATCTTTGTTGCCGATAACCGTGTAAGTTATTTCTACAACAATTGGTGCTATGCGGGATTGTATGAATTATAATACTGAAAAATAAATCGATCGCAGGTTTCAGCAGGAAATTCATATAAATGGTGGTCGTTGTATGAAAATATTTATAGCTTAATTAATCAATTTTGTTAATTTGTGATTACAAAATTGATTGAGTATTCAATGCCCTTCCAGTAATATTTCAGTAAATTTAAGTTATTACACGAATGATTCAACTCATAAATTGCTATTTAATGTGTGTTCTAGAAAATATTACATATATTTTGCTTCCATGGCAACGAAATTATCCAGCAGTATTAGCGTGATAATTAGACGCCTTTCATGGTCAATCTCCGCTAATTTCACACCTTCGATCACACGTCATCAGTCGGTCAATGAACCGAAACAGCAAGATCGACATTTCGAAAATGTAAGCTAAAAGTAATACGAATACCCCCGTCGCATATTCCGGACTGTAAATGGCACATCTCTCCGCGCGAAATCTTTATTTTCGGAAAATCAGGCTTCACCTCCAAGAGAAATCAATATGTCCTCCTGTGACGAAGTTGTTGTCAAGAGGCGATGTCTCGGCACCGGTTGTTGCGGTTATTACATAATTTAGACAATTAAAGTTTCAGAGAAAATACGGTAGCTATTTCGCGAGTTTTCATGCTGTAACAACCAAATCTGGTATTTTACATATGACATGTGCCATTATTCCCAATTAAATCTTATTAATCCTTACAAAAATTGACACGTTTCTCTCGATTTTGAAAAGGAAAATAGCAAGTACAAACTTTACAACGCTATTTTATTTATATAGTCCAATTTGCCGAATGGGAAACTATTCCATAAATGTTTACGAATTTCATTTCTCGAGAATACATCCCTAGTAGCACACTTCATTGGCGTTACATTGGCCAATGAAGTGTGCTACTAGAAATGTATTGCAGGATAATCATTATCGCAATATAGTTCACCTGCTCATAATTATGCCACGCGTTGTTGAAAAAGAAAGAAAAGAAAAGGAAAAGGTCCTAGAGAAATCATTCCACACAGAGAAAAATTTGGTTGAAATCATCGGATAATAAACAAACCAAACACGTTGTGGTTGAAAGAAATTGAATTTCTTGTTCTCAACCAAATTCGGTTCGTACAACCAGAATTTCGGTTCCTTTCATCAAAGCGTGTTTGGTTGATTTATTTATTGTCAAGTAAATTCAACCGAATTTTCCTTTGAGTGTATGATAATAAAGAAATATATTAAGGTGAATATACCAATTAGCAATAAAGTAATCTTATCGCGAAAATAAATCAATAAATTAGTAATATATATGTTAAGTATATAAAATTTATTTTGTTCGAAAATTTGAACATTTGTGATTCTAATTGTATCTTTTGCGATAAGATTTTACATAATTTATAATATCTTCTCAAAAGTGAGACGGAAGTATCATTTAGCGGACATATAATTTAGATTTTGTCCCAATTTGTAAATATTCTTAAGATTTCCTCGACTGTGACAGTACGATTTCAATCGCTTAATGTTATATATAAGAAAATAACTGCAAAAAGACAGGGAATAACTACAGAAAAATGTTAAATAAATGCTTCATATTAACAGTCAACTTCTAAGATGTCCGCAAGAAAACGCTCCGAACCGTCGCCGGCACACCCGCTTATACTTACAATATTTTAGTATTTATTATAGCTTTTAATTTCATTTCACACTTGTTACAACGGGTAATATATAAAGTTTAAAATAGAAATACATTTTTCATGATTATCGTGTAAACATATCACCTAACTTATTCAGGAAAACAGGTGCGATCGTCACGAATTAGGACGTTGCCGCTAAATAGGACCTAACCTTCCGCGGTAACTCGGACTTGATCGACTCGGAAGAATCCGGGTTCAGAATTCGTCTCTCTTAATACGGCCTACATCTCGAGAATGCGATTACGCTACACCGGCTCAATAATCTTACTGTCGCACAGGTAGCAGACGCGCGTCGGCCGGTTGTTTGGAGACACGCAAACCATCCTTTAATTGCCGGAACAACGTGGATCGAAACGACTGCGGCGGTTTGCGGCCCACCGGGACCGCCGCGACGGGCGCGTATCCCGGGCCGTGTCGGTGCGTCGAGGAGGAAATTTGGAACAGCAACGCGCCGCCCAAGCCGAATTGCCGATGGCTGAGTAACTTCGCCGAGCTGCGTCGTCAATGGAGCGACCACGGCCGCCAGCGGGCCTGCGAGTGCTGCAGCTGCCGACCCACGTGGTAGAGAATGCAACAATGATTGAGACTGCGATCGGGGAGCGCGTTATCATTGCTGTTACATTATTCTATCTTCGTTTAGACGTGAGACGAAGATAGAATGATGCAATAGCGGTGATAGAGTGCACCCCGAACGCAGCCTAAATAATATCGCGGTAGCTCGGGGGGGAGAGAGAGAGAGAGAGGAAGGTCGATGTCGTCGTTCTTCCTGTGACGGGTCGGTAAAAGGACAAACGTGATTCTATATTGGTCGCATTTTCTTCCTCTCACTTCCAAGTAACAATGACGTAGGTCGTTCTCGCGCTCGCGAAGATATCGATATTCTGTCTTAAAGCGTAACAAAACGCGGCTTCTCTCTCTCTCTCTCTCTCTCTTTCTCTCCCCTCCCCTCCCCCCCTCGACCGTCTCTCACGACGTACGCGTGAGAACGTTCGTGCACGTTTCTCCGGAAAAACGTCCTTTCGCGACGTTCTCTCCTTCGCGCTCGATGTTCCCCGGCTGAGATTTATCGATAGCTCCGGGAAAATTGGAGTCGACGCTTCGACGACGTTTCGTTTGTTTATGTAAAAGCCGTCCGTCCGTCCGTCCGAACGTCGAGCGCGAGCACCGCTTGCTGAAATATCGAGAGAATGATTGAACTTCCTTATTTTGCGCACGACGCGTTTCGATCGCAGCAGAACTGTCGTCCCGTGCCGGCTGTGTCTTTCGCCGACGCCCCGGTGTTCCGGCACCGCTCTAACTTCGTCGGACTGTCAGGTACACTGTGGTAGATCCTTCCAAGAATAGAGAGCGCTTCAGATCCTCCGTGAGGTAGTAGATTTTGCATGTACTCGCGAAGAGAGCGACACGAAGTAGATACGAAGCAGAGCCCGCAGCGCGAAAAGGATCGACAGGTCTAATTGACTTCGCGATGTAATCTCTCACTAATATCGTTTCTCTCTGTTACATTTGACAGAAGATCCCGTGAGGTCTCATACTATTGACTTTTTTTTTATTTCGTATGCAACATGAGAGAATAAAACGAAAGATACATTTCATTTTAATTACGCGTGATATCGCGAAATTGAATAAACATTGGGAATTTATCCTCTCGCAAAATCGAGAATTAGCTTCGATATATTTGCGTTGTTAAAAAGTTGCGTTTGTTAAGAAGTTCGAGCTTAATTAAACTCCAGAATGCGCTTCTGCGGTATTGTGCAATCATTTTGGGGTGTTTTGTATTAAGACGAGAAAGAGGAGATGAAAGAAAGACGTTTCTCCATTTGTATTCGAATGTATAATACATATAAATAATATATATAGGGAATAAATGGAACAGTGGAATTCAGCGACATAGACAATGCAAAAGCCCAGTTGAATACTCTTGACGTTCTTCGCGCGTTTTAATTAAATTTGATAGGAGGACCGTGAGCATTTAATTTGGACGCGGTTAGTTTGCGCGCTCGATTTATGTAAATTAGCATGGAATAGTTGGTGGGAGCAAGAGAGAGATTCCCAAGTTTGTTAATTATTCGATAAAATACGTAAAGTTAGCTCTGAGTAATTTCTACGCAGACTTTAATGGCTCACTAATTGGAACGTTTTAAAACAAACCCTTTATGCGCTAACGTCGAACTCGATACGCTGCGACGTCATTCGCAACCGGCACGTTGAGACTTCTTCGTGACATCTCCATTTCTTCACGAATAACAAAGGAAAAGCATCAAAATTGACATGTAATAAACCGACATACCGACGTCTCTCGGTTGTAAAGTACTGAACTCTATCGGACAGAATATGAATTTCGTCTAT